AGGAGGACAGGTAGGTAGAAGGTAGGTAGGAGGACAGGTAGGTAGAAGATAGATAGGAGGACAGGTAGGTAGAAGGTAGGTAAGTAGATGGACAGGAAGGTAGGTAGGAGGACAGGTAGGTAAAAGGTAGGTAGGTAGGATGACCGGAAGGTAAATAGGAGGACAGATAGGTAGGTAGGTAGGTAGGAGGACAGGAAGGTAAAAAGGATGACAGGTAAGTAGGTAGGTAGGTAGGTAGGTAGGTAGGTAGAAAATGTATGCAATTAAATCAAATAACTATGAAGTATGTTTTAAACTCATCTCTGATTTTTTGCAATGCTTCTTGAAAGTTAAAGAACCAAAAATATTTAAAAACAATCTACTTCCCTGCATAGTAAGCTAGATTGATATATATAGATACACTAGATAGCTAGATAGATAGAAGAAGATAGATAGATAGATAGATAGATAGATAGAAGAAGATAGATAGATAGATAGATAGATAGTTAGATAGATAGATAGATAGATAGATAGATAGATAGATAGATAGATAGATAGATAGATAGATAGATAGATAGATAGATAGATAGATAGATAGATAGATAGATAGATAGATAGATAGATAGATAGATAGATAGATAGATAGATAGATAGATAGATAGATAGAAGAAGATAAATAGATAGATATAAATATGGGTAGGGTCAAGATAGGTATGCACTAGGCTTGGAAAAGCTGAAATATGGTTTAATGGGTGGGAAAATTTGCTGTGTTGCAGATATTTTATATGCGTGGTAATCATTCTTTCAATTTCACTATCATCTACCTATCGGTGTTAGGTTCTTTCCCAAAGGCATTTTCCCAAGGGCGAATTCCCAAAGTGCAACTTCCCAAATATGCAATTTCCTAAGCGGCAAAGGTTAGGTTGGGCCTTATGATTCGGCGCGCAGGCTGCAATGAGGCTGAGCTCAGCGGATAGGATGGGCTAGGGGGCCAAGCGCTGCTGCTAGGACATAATTGGGAAGCTGCCGCTTGGGTAATTGCACATTTGGGAAGTTGCCAATTGGGAAAATACCCTTGGAAAGTTGCCACTTGGGAAAAGGCCTTTGGGAAAGTACCTAACATCATGTACAAAAATCTATCTATCTATATCTATCTATTTATCTATTATCTTTCCGTTTTTGGATCTATTTATCTATAATTATCTTTTTTTTGGATCTATTTATCCATTATCTTTCTATTTTTAGATATTTTTATCCATTATCTTTCTATTTTTGGATCTATTTATCCATTATCGTTCTATTTTTAGATTTATTTATCCATTATCTTTCTATTTTAGGATCTATTTATCCATTATCTTTCTATTTTTGGATCTATTTACCCATTATCTCAAAATTTTTGGGTTTATTTATCTGTTTTCTTTCTATGTCTGGATCTATTTACCAATTATCTCTATATTTTTGGGTCTATTTAACCATTATCTCTCTATCTTTGGATCTATTTATCAATTATCTCTCTATTTTTTAGTCTATTTATCCATTATCTTTCTATTTCGGCGCACAAAATTTAAAATGCATAATGCAAAGAATGCTTTTTGTAAGATTAATGTTAATCTTTCTTTTTATCTATTTACCTATCTGTATTCTTATATTTCTTTATCTATTTGTATCTAAACAACTCTACACGCAAATTTTCCATAAAAATACAATTTTGGCATGGGTATTAGGTATTGTAGTTTCATCATTGGTGTTAGGTATTTTTCCAAGGGCATTTTCCCAAGGCAACTTTCTAACTGTGCCAAGAGGCAACTTCCCAAGGGTTAGGTTAGGCCATTTGAGTCGCCGCAAGCTGAAATGGGGCCAAGGTCTGAGCCTAGGATGAGATAGAGAGAAGAGTGCTGCAAATTAGAACAAGTGGAAGTTTGGAAAATTGCACATTTGGGAAGTTTCTACTTGGGAAAATACTCTTGGGAAGTTGTGTACCTCACATCTCACTTGCAACAGAAGTTCAATGAAAAAATTGTGTTGAATTGGATCAACAACTAGACCATTATTGTTTTTAAACCGTCTCGTCTGCCACTAATCGTGTAACATTTTAACAGTTGTTTTAGATCATGCTTTACTTGTTTCCGATCAAGCAATTTCCATTTTTTAAATCTTTTTTCAGACGCTATAATTTCAAAAAAGACTTTTATTAGACAAAAAAAAACATTTTTTTGTGCTACCCCAAAAGATTGTCTGATTTGTAAAAAAACATATTTTTTTTTTCAAATGGAGGTAGTATATCTTTAGCTAGAAGAAAATCAAAACTATTTCTGGGTCATCCTTAATATACTTTAAAATAAAATAAAAAATTTGCTTATTTGATTCTTTTATCGGGTTAGCAAGTGAAATATGCACTCACTGGGTCAAATTTAACAAACTTGCATATTTTATGACACATTTCTGAACACTTTCATTTAAATCACGCTTTTTTTACAAATATATAGTACTGAATGATGTAGCCAAAAACTAAAATTTTTGAATACCTTTATTTTTGCAGCCTGATGGCGTAAGCCTTAAAATATTCCAAACAAACCGAATTTATTGTCTGAAATATCTATGGTCTACGACAAAGGGCCGGGTTTGAAAATCAGAGTTTGTGGCATAGTCTTAATTTCTTAGTCGAAGATTTTTTTAGTGATTAATTTAGTCAATCAATCCATTGACATTACAGGTGTCACAACATCCGTTTAGAAAATTCAGAAATGAGACTTTTCAAGAATAGTTGGCCCCTAAATATCAAGAATAGTTGGCCCCTAAATAGTCTCATTTTTTCAACATAACTAAATACTCTTTTTTTACCACAACATATTTTAACAGATTTTAAGAATTATTAATTTAAAATAAAGCACGCACGTTCTGAAGTAAGTAGGTTGGTCATGGCAAACACTAAATTTTTTCAACATTTTCCTAAACAATCATTTTTACCACAAGTTATTTGAACAGATTTTTAATGCGGATTTTTTTGTTGGAATATAATTTGATAAGCCCCCACAGACCCAAAAAATGATGCTCCTACCACCTACAGAGAGCATTGAAGAGGATCAAATTAATTTCCCAATACAAAAACACTGGATTGAAAATATGACACAAAATCTATATAATTATTATTTTTTATCTTTGTTATTAAAATCTAAGTCCAAGGTCAAAAAAAGATAAAAATGTTTTATTTTTTTTTCAAAGGAAAATAAAAGGCTAAAATAGTCGTATTCTTGTTTTGCAACAATATAAAAAACTGCATTGTTTGATTCGAGATAACTTATGTTCAAGATATTTTCTGGCCTTGATTTAGGTTTTTATCATACAGTGGGACCCTTTTAAACTGTGGAATAGAAAAACGACTTTTAAAATCAAGTTATGAGTTTCAAGACTAAATTAAATCAATATATTTGATGTTCTTACAATGCAAATAGCTTAAACAGTAACTTATTAATCACTTAAAGGGACTGTAAAGGAAAAATGAAAGGGGGTATAGGCTGAAAGCTAATCTGATGTTCCTATCTCGAGAAATTGATATACAACTTTGTCAAATTTATACGAAAATTAATATATATATAATTTTGTATAAAAGTAGAGGGTTTAAATAGATCAAATTCAGCAAATATTCAATCAATCTGAAAACTATGATATCCCAGAGAAAGCTAATTGTAACTCCACCAATGGCAGTGCAGTAAAGTGGTCACGTGATACAGGCGGAGACACGTGATCAGTATACTGCTTTGCCATTGGTGATTTAAGTTTAAGATTTTCTAAATTTTACATATATGAACTTTCGTATAAATGCAACACAGTTTTAAATCAATTTCTCGAGACAGAAACATCAGATAAAACTTTCATGGGTCGCGATCAAGAGCTAAAGTGATTAGCTTTCAGCCTATACCCCCTTTCATTTTTCCTTTACAGTCCCTTTAAGAGAAATAGTTCTATTTACACTGCACAATTACCTTGTCTTAAATACATTGGACTATTGAATGTCAAAACTTAACTCTAAAATGTCGTTTTTCTATTCCAGAGTTTTCTGGTACTCACTGTAGTGTATATATATATATATATATATATAAGATAATATAGATAAATATTTAAAAGAATATACTCCACAAAGGCTAGCATTAAGCCAACTGAGAAAAATTAATATTAGTATTTTAAGAATTATTAATTCAAAATAAAGCACGCTTTTTCTAATACATATATAAGTAGGTAAGTCATAGCAAACATAAAGTTATGATGAATATTAATCATCTATTAAGTTCGCAGGCCTTGTACATTTTTTATATAACGATTTAAAGGCTTCAATGCACTTATCGTAAAGGGAGTGTCTGGCTAGACATGGTAGTTGAGCTAAGAATTGAAAATACAGTACTGTAGAGAATTTTTAGGATTCATTTGAAAATTCAATCTTTAAAATCCTCATAGATTGTCCATTTAGGAGGGTTTATTTTGAAAATCGGTTTTTTAGAATTATTTAATGTTGACGACGAAAAATGTAACAAATGGAACAGGTTGAGGAAATAAAATTTGACTCTTATTATTGAAAACAAGTAATTTTATTCAGTTATTAGTTTCTGTAATGTCTCATTTTGGACAAACAGTTTCTTAAGATTTCTTTATTGAAAAGACGACATTTGAAGAATTTAATGAAATCTGCTAAAAAATAAGAAATTCAATATAATGATCAATAAGAAATAATTGAGTCTAATATTGATTTTTTGACAAAAATTTATTGAAAAAAGGTCCTAAAATCTAATAAGTTTACTGTTGAATTTTTTTACATTTGTACCTATTTTCAGAAACATTCCTCCAAAGTGAATAATCTATGAGGATTTTAAAGATTGAAGTTGCACTCTTGCTGGACAAATGAATACTAACAAATTTCTCTCAGTTCAACTACCATGTCTAGCCAGACACTCCCTTTAAAGCAGCATTTAAAAATATCTTTTACTTACAAATCATCAAATAATATTTTTAAAATCAGTTTTATTCAGATTGAAGATTCCAGTTCTGTAGTGAGTTCAACTCAAGATATAGAACGAAACAGATATATTACAAACGGTATCATAATGATGATAATGATGATAATAATGATAATGATGATAATGATGATAATGGTGATAATGATGATAATGATGATAATTATGATAATGATGATAATGATGATAATGATGATAATGGTGATAATGGTGATAATGATGATAATAATGATGATAATGATGATAATGATGATAATGATGATAATGATGATAATGATGATAATGATGATAATGATGATAATGATGATGATAATGATAATGATGATAATGATGATAATGATGATAATGATGATATTGATGATATTGATGATATTGATGATAATGATGATAAAGATGATAATGATGATAATGATGATTATGATGATACTGCAGGTGATGTATCCCGACTGTATTGTGAAGAGTCCCACAGAGGACCCAGACAGGTCAATACAATCTAATCCTTAAAGGAACTGTTAACGTAATTTAAAGTGACCATTTCACAGCGGTACCCTTTAAATCTTATTTCTATTTTTCTATTCAAAAGCTTCTAAATTTTAACCGTAGTTTGGCTTTAAAAGTAAAGAAAGAGGATTTTATGCAGCACAGAAAAAGAACATAATTTACATTCTTCAACACTTATAGAGCTGGCAAAACAAGGATAGCTTCCGTAATGTTTGTAGATTCAGATTAAAAAGGTAACATTGTGAATCGGACCTGAAATAAATCTTATTAAAAGGGTCATATTAAATCACGTTTACAGGTCCTGAAATTATTCTGATTTTTTTTTAGATTCATGAAACAAGTTTTATTGGTTTTTGCATTGTCAACATAACCAAGAGTTTGAGAATGATCAAGTATTACTGCATTTGTTAGATTTTTTTTTGGAGGGGAGTGGGAGGTCTGATTTTTGTAGATTAACATCACTAAATAGGAAATAAAGAGAGAATATAAAACTAACCACGTAAATTAATAAGTAAGTCTGTTCATTCAACCAACACCAGTGAGAAAATGCTGCCTGAAAATTACGAAAAAAAAGGAAAAAAAGAGATTAAAATTACTTGTGAGATTTAACAGATATAAGTTACTTGTAAAAATCTGCAAGATATCCATGAGACCCCTCTCCCATTATTAATTTCTTCATGCCAGTGAATCCTTCCATCCGTGTGTAAATCCTGTTCTTCACGGCCTTAAAAACATCTCTTAATCCTCAGTAAGTTTTCTTTTTAGTTTAAGATTTCTTCATAATTTCCATGTTCCCAATTTGTGAAACCCAGTTTCCAATACTGGGTTTCATACGGATAACCATGGTTTTAAGTTTTAGGCCCTGAACTACACTTCTCCGTGTCCAACTTTTATTCTACAGTTTAACTTGGGAGACATCAAAAGAATAATTAAAATGTCGTTTTCTGAACCTACTGATATGGAATGCTGCAGATTTTTTTTTTACTGAATAATTTCATGACTATTTATTTATTTTTACAACTACTGAGATTTAGATATAAAAGTATAAAACCCATTGGAGGAGGGCGAGAGAGGGGGGGTGCACACCCGCCATGACCGTCGAAGCCTGATTCGCAGAATGACCTCAACATATTTCCGTGCCTTTCGTTATATATATATATATATATATCTTAATATAAAGCTGCAATCAAGGCTGTAAAATAAGGTTGGTTACTCTCGATGCGCTCCAATGTACGGAAAATGATGTCTATTAAGATAGAAAGATAAAAACCTCGTATGGCGTCACTCTCACTTCTATTATCAGTGACGTCATATGAGGTTTTTATATATCTATCTAACGAGACGAAATTTCTGTACATAGGAGCGCAACGAAAGTAACCAACCTAATTTATATACAACATTTTCCCCCAAGTTTAGGAATTTGTGAAATTTAGGAAAAAAAATAGAAGTCTCAATCAATGTGTACTCGATGAGTGGAAAGTAAAAAAACCTTTTCTCTTGTTTCTATTACGTCTGTTTTCTAGTTATTTAAAGCAATCATGAACAAAGAAAACATTTACAATTTTAAATATTAACGATCTATATACACCTGTATACAATACATATGCCGTAAATGACTATCGAAGTTTAGAAAGACTTAAATAATGTCACGTTCACAATTTCTGATTTTTTAATATTACAATTTGTATTATGGTACACCGAACAATATATTGTGAAGAGCAACATTTTCAGTTAAAAAACAAGCCACAAACTTTAACATAACGTCATTTTCTTTTGCTAGAGATAACCATAGCTGAAAACTTTTAATGGGATATTCTTAATCCCGATCGATTAATTCATCAAGAGTGGATCAAGCATTAATCCCGATATTCACCATTCAAAACTTCTCAGCTCAAGTTATCTGATTCTGAAATTCTGCGAACATCAAGATATGAACGTTGAATCTGTGCCTAATAGGACTGTAGGCGTAGTTTCCAAAGAGCCTCCATTTGTAGTGACATGTCTGATGCACAACAGTTCCCTTTAAACTTTTGATTATTCAACATTTACTCGTTTTTTCCCAGATATACTTGTAACGTCATGCTGTGTCGAGTTCACACCGTACGCTAGCGTCCACTCCCGTTTTACGGTAGTTCGAACACTTTTTGAGTAATAAACACAAAGAGTTCTCTGGCCTCTATAAGAAGTCAAAAGTTTAATGAGTAATAATGATGGAAATTGGGCGTTGTCATCTTTGCATCAATTGAAATTAAGTTTTCACAAAATGTTATTCGAAATAATTTGTCAAAAAAAGAAACCAAACGTACAGCCACCTTTAAAGTGTTATTTTTTCAGGCACTTCAAATTATAAAGAATGATAAATAATATTATTTGAATTTACAATTTCTTGTTTAGGAACATTTTGGAAGCTTGATTGGCATGCTGAGCGATCTTCAGGTATTTGGGAACTGAACCAAGAAGCTCTATAGATTAGTGTAAATATTCCTTGTACAGAAAATGTACAAAGATTCTGCACAACCCGTACTTAATCTGTTAATCTGTTAATCTGTTAATCTGTTAATCTGTTAATCTGTTAAGAGTTAACACTTTTGTATTGCAAAATCCAAGGATTAAGCAGCTATCCGTATCTTCTTCTCGGATAAAATTAATCCCACTCGGATATCCCGTGACGGTCGTAACCTGCTGGGATAACGAAAATTAAGTGACTAATCACTTATCCTCAAATCTTAAAGTTTTTACTTTGGATATCGAGTTGAAGCACGAGATAAACGGACGTTTTGATCTCTGTATAGTGTGCATTGAACTCAGGTCAATGGAATGTGCAGTAGCACAACGGTAACAGCCAAAAAAGTCCTTGGAAAAAAAGTTTCCGGAAAAAAGTCCTAAAATTTCACACTAAAAAAGTCCTTTTATTAAAAAGTCTCCGGAAATAAAGTCCTACCAATTCGAGACTTTATTTTCTAGGACTTTTTTTCTGGCTCCAGTATGATTTTATACAAAAAAGTCCTCGGAAAGAAGTCCTCTAACAAGTGAAAATGCATGATTCACAATGGAAAAAAAGTCCTGGTTTGTCTAGGTTTTCTTTTCCTTGGATTTATTTTCTTCAGGACTTTTTTCCTGAGATCTTATTTCCTGAGACTTTATTGGCAGCCCCCATACTATTTTAGAAAAAAAGTCCCAGGAATCCAAAACACAGGACTTTATTTCCACTGACATTTTTTCCAAGGACTTGAGAAAATTCGGACTTTTTTCCAAAGTTTTTATTTCCAGGTTTTTTATTCCAAAAACTTTTTTTTCCCAGGACTTTCTTACATAGATTCAGCACAACAGTACAAAAAATATTCGGAATAATAACGTAAAATTAATCTTTAAGCGTGTATAACTTGGTGTTAAGTATTTTCTCAAGGCATTTCCCCAAGGGCGACTTCCCAAGTAACAATTTCCCAAGTTGCAACTTAACAAATGTGCAATTTCCATAGCGGCAACTTCCCAAAGGTTAGGTTATCCCCTGCAATTGGGGCCGAGCGCTGCGGCTAGGTTACGCTAGGGGGCCGAGCGGCAAAGTGATTAAATCCTAAAGTGGGCCAAACTCATAGTTGGATGACGGCATTTTATGTCCCAAATATTTAAAAATAATATATATATTGGTCTGTACGGAGTGCACAGTATACAACAGAAACTGGACTCCCTTTGTTTACAAACACAGACTTAGAATTCGTATTTAACTTAAATGTAGAGTAACATAAATTAAAATCTTAGAATTGAATTTTCGCCATTTTACTGCACAACAGATAATTTCAGAAAACAGCACAATAATGCCTGCATGCAAATCTGTAAAACAAAGAATGCAGAATTTGTGATATCGAAAAATAAAGATCTTCGAAATATATCTCTTGGTCTTAACTTTTGTATTTTGACAGATTTAAAAGTAGTTGAGAACTAGACATAGCTTTAAAGATATTAAGAGAGGCATAGGTTTTTTCCCAGGAAGGGCTTACATTTCTTTTTCTTTTAAGTGGGGGGGGGGGGCAAAACAAAACTAAGCAGTTTTAAAGATAAATTCATATAGACTTAGAAGTACAAGCCTGCCAGGCAAAATCAATGAATTTATTAAGCGACTATATAGTATTTGCATATAAAACACATACAAACATACGAAATTTTTTTTTGATTATGAAAATTTTGAAGTTCTAGCTGAAGACGACATTTACATGAGTCCTTAGTCTTTTTTTTCTAGTCTTTACTTTCCAAAAGAAATCTTTTCATGCAATAATTTCCAAACCAAATAAAACCTTATGGCCCAACCTATCGTCGTTGCCTTAGTCTGTTCCACTTTAGTATTTATACACTTTGGCCGAGCGGCGGCTGTTAACACAGGCTGGGGCCGAGCGCTACGGCTAGGAAAGACTTGGGAACTTTCACATTTGAGAAGTTGCCACTTGGGAAAATACCCTTGGGAAGTTGCCGCTTGGGAAAAATTCTTTGGGAAAGAACCTAATGTTATGATCTATTTTGCCACATGCCACAACGAAAATTCTGTAAAATTTTCCGCACAAAAAATAGATCAAAACCTTGAAAGTATAAATTCCAGACTTAAACTGGAATAAAGAGACTTTTTCATATCTTACTTCAGAAACAATAAAAGAAATTGTGAGAATTAAACACTTTTCAACAAACCGAAGATATCTTACATAGGGTACCGTCGTATATATTTCATTCTATAAATTGAGGGTTTTTGACCTTACGCCTATTGTCGCTTGAATGTTAACCTAGGACGCAAACTGCTCTGATATTGATCAAATACTGGCTGAAGGAAACTTCAATTCGGAGATAAAGACTGAATCCTGTCTAGATAATATTATCCCACATCAGGTTTAATAATAATAATAATAATAATAATAATAATAATAATAATGATAATAATAATAATAATAATAATAATGATAATTGTTTAGAATGATCTAGGGTATCATCTCCCGCATCAAGACCTGTATCCTTCCTCGTATCTCAGACAGGTTCAAAAATTAGAAACTTTAAACGTAGTTTCCAATTAACTAAGTTACCAGTAAATGTTTTGTATTATCAAGAATGAGGGAAATGTCTGGCTGTTTTCTTATTTTTTTATTTATGAGTTTTCTGTATAAGTGACTTAAGGAAACAATGGAGGAATAAAACAGTTTTCAAGAAAAACGACGGTTTCTTCCATATTAGTTAATCAGATAAAGATGTAAAAGGTTCCCTAGTAAATTGCACATGGCACTATTTGTGGTAGTTTTATAAGTGAGAAGTTTATACGAAAAGTTTGATTTAAATTTAGCATTTGTTCAGCAAATTCCAATCTCTGAACTTTATAGATGAGGTAAATAACCTTATTTAATTTTAAGTCAATTGTTATCATCTAAAAAATGTTTAAATTTGTCTCTAAAGAATTAATATTTAATTTTTTAGAATTGCAACAGTGCTGAATTAGGATACAGGTACAGGTACTTAAGTAAAGGTACAAATGCAGGTACAAGTACAGGTACAGGTACAGGTACAGGTACAGGTACAGGTACAGGTACAGGTACAGGTACAGGTACAGGTACAGGTACAGGTACAAGTAATTAGGTACAAATGAAGGTACAAGTGCAGGTACAGGTAAAGGTAAAGGTACAAGTACAGGCACAGGTGCAGGTACAGATAAAGTTACAGGTACAGGTACAGGAAAGTTTTACAGGGTGTCCCACGAAATACAGTGAAACCCTTTACTAACGAATTTATCGAAAGAACTCATCAAATGTCGTATTCTTCACTTCCTGATAATGTGATGTTGCAGATATTTAGTTTTTTTTGATTAAATGATTATATGGAACGCTTTAAAACTGTTCCCGCATATTTATGGCTATTTATTTATTTTCGCAAATACTGAAATTTACGTAATATAGTATAAAACTCATTGAAAAATTGTCAAGACGACATTTGATAAATTCTTCCTATGTATTCGTTATTAAGGGTTTCACTGTATGTGGACTTGGTGAATAGTTTTAATTTTTTCCAGATGCTGTATTATGTATTAAAGACTTTTTGCAGTTTATTTAGCTTAAAACAATTTTACTCTAATATATTTTACTTAAAAATCAATTGTACTATAATATGAATGCCATCAAATATTTATTATTATGTTCTTTGGAAACAAACAACTTGACATATTATGGAAGAAGACATTTTAAACTATTCACCACCTGTCATGTTTTGTGGGACACCCTGTAGTTAAAGGTACAGTTTAAGAGAAAAACATAAATTAATTACAAAATACTAAACACTTTTTACAATTTCTAAACAAAAAAGAAGGAATGAAGACAACAATCATTGAGATTTTTTGGTAATCACTGTTGATTAAATATTTTGCAACTGTTTAGTGTGTGTCGTGAGGAAGGATCAAACAATTCATCTTTACAATATCCTACACAGCTACCATTGAAGGTAAACGAAGACGACATTACCTAAACGTTTATTTCATCTTTTGCCGGACAGTTTGGTCGTCAAATGGACGTTCTACGCATCACGGACACATGACCCAACTTGCAAGTAATTTATTGTTATAAGCTGTCTAGATTTAATTGTCTTAAGAGCATTTTAATTGAAACAAAACGAAAATTCAAGGTTATATTAACGATTTTACCATCACTACGGTTATATTAAGAGATATCATATTTATGCAATAATGCATTTTTATTTATTTTTTAAGAAAAACACCTGTTATTTCTTTTGTATTTGACGTTTTCCGAAGTTTTTCAAAGCTTGCAGATACAGATGATTGAATCATAGTTGATAGATAATCCTAAGAACAGCGACGGAAACTCTCTTTTGATATTTAAAAACCATTAAACATGGTGAACAATGAAACCTTAATGTTAAGGTTACTGGATACATCCCCTTGTCCCCTGAGGACCCTAAAGGCGGTCCCTATAGTCCCCTATCCCCAGGGTCCCCCTCGCAGAAACATGATCGGTCCAAAGATGATAAGTATTGGGAGAGGAGAAGGTAACAAATAATTTTTTTAGATGAAAAGTTTTTCTTTCTCATTTGATCTTTAAATGGATTGGAGTAAAGGTTAAATTTTTAAAAACATTTTCCTCCTTAGTTTTAACAAAAATTCTAAAACTTAACTTTATTTAAGTATTTCAGAATCAATAAGTACATGGTGTCCCACAAAATATGAAAATTGAGAGACGACTTGAAGATCGTCTTTAATCTTTGAAATAAATCACTAAATGTATTTGTTAAGCTAATTTCACAGGTAAAATTTTTAAAAAAATCCAAAATGCCTCTAGTCCTGGAATTTCTAAATTGTGGTCTTCCTTGACCTGCTTCTGAAAATTTCTAAAAGAATTTCGTTTAGACTTCAATTATTTTAAAGATAAAAGACAATTTTAATGTTGCCTCCCTTCTGTCATGTTTAGTAGGACACTCTGAGCTGAAAACTTTAGAATGAGATATCTTTAATCTCGATTACTTAATCTGTGGCCAAATTTAAAGAATTTGAGCGGCGGTTTAAATTTAAGCCGCGGTTTAAATATGGTTGGTTCCACTTAAAATTGTATCTAATGTTTCAAGATTTAAGCCGGCGCTTAATTTAAACCGGGTTTTGGTGGATTTAAACCGCGGCTCAAATTCTTTAAATTCCAACTCAGAGTATCCAATGGACACACTTTTAATTTTTCTCCTTAATCCTCTCTTTTCGGATACCCCTACTGTATTAAAGTTACATTTGATAAAAATTACAAATACGATCCTTCATCGATTGGACTAATATCTGATTGAATTTAAGTCAGCTGTTCACAATCCGGCTTTTAGAGCATTTAAACAAATACAAATTTAATCATGTTAAAATGAACTTATTAAAAAACATATTTTATCACATTCAAGGACTATAATAGTCATTTTGAACGTTAGTCTTAATAAACATTAATCCAAAACTTACGTTCTTTCAATATGGTCTTATTTCTAAGAAATAAACGATTTAATGTAAACATTTTTATTTCTGATTACAAAACAAATTGAGGTGGTGGAGATTACCAATTGTGGAGCGCGCATGCCGCAAAACACGTTCGGGTGGCGGTGATTTCTTATTGAGGACTTGATATGACACCATCAACACCAGAAATGCGTTAACATTAAAAACGGGGTTGTCAAAAGTTTGAAGAGCGTATTAAACATGACACGCTGATTGGTTGAATTTTAAACGTCTTTCTTGGATAAAGAATGCGTATTAACCTAATCTCAGGTTTGTAAAACCATGAAGATCAAGCATTGATCTCGATATCCACCATTCTAAAGTTTTCAGCTCAGTACACAATTAAGCTCCTCGAATTTGCCTAAAGAATTTGAGTTATTGCCACTTAAACTCTAGTTGTCCAATATCTTTATTTTTGCAACCTGATGTCGTTGAACCTAGAGATATTTCAAACTATAAACTCTGTTAAATCTAAGTTAGACATATCAAAGGTTCACATCATCCTAGGTTGCAAGATATAGAAAATAGAAAATCAGAGTCAAAGAACCAATAGTTCATTTATTCTTTATTCATTAGGCTTGCTTTATTAATACATTTCAGAAAAAACAATTTGGCTGCGAAGAAATCCCGCGATGCTCGCCGAGTTCGTGAAAACCAACTTCGTCTACGAGTTCTATGTTCTGAGAATCAGATACGGTATTTTCAGAAAACTGTTTTTCTTTATGTGGAATTCAAATACCAATAAGATTAATTTTGATTCAAGTAACCTTCAATGCAAAGATGACAATGCCTGATTTACAACGGTACCCTTAAAACCTTAATCTGATCAAACATTTGGAAGATACTGTCGTTTTCCTCACTCAAAAAAGTGTTCACTCCATTGTTTCTTTTAAGCCAGAAATGCGCAAGTTACTTTTGCAGAAAAGCCGTAAATAAAAAAACAGTTTAAAGAAACAAAAACATGGATATCTAATTCATATTTGACCGGACAAATGTTTTAAGGATTCCGTTGTAAATCGGGCATTGCCATCTTTGCATGGAGGATCACTTAAAATTACGCTTACAGTCCCTTTAACACACGAATATTTTTAGTGTTTTGAGGAGTCAATTAGACCGATCACAGGAGGAAAATCATTCTCTAAAGTATGCAACTTTTCAACATTATTTTAAAGATCAATCGTACGTAAAAACTTCATTAAATTTTATCTAGAGAAAGACTGAAAAAGTATGAGGGAGATGTGCATATCCAGCGTATAGATAATTACAACATGGCCCCACAGCCACAAAATGGAGAACCTGTATACAACAGTACGTGTCAAGCTGAATATAATATGACGGGGCATTCTAGCGGAAGAAATGCGCAAAAAATGATGGAAGACGATTTGAATGGAATGCCTGACACTTGATTTTGGCGAATTTTCGTCCGTGCTCTAACAAACGTGCTTTCATTTTTCTCATTTTCATTTCTTTCTCATTCATAATTTGCACTTAATTTACTTCAGTTAATTTTGTCTTGTGCACCTACGTGTAATACATATTCTATATTTATATATCAGATTATATTTTGTTTAATACTCAAATATATATATATATATATACTACATGTGAAAATTTTATAAACAATAAATTGTGTCTTCATGTTATTATTGATTAAAGTTTCTTTTGAAAGATTTAGCATTTTTATAATTTTCTTAATTTAAAATTAGGTATTTTATGATTTAATATATTTGATCTTAACCGGATAAAATTAAAGTTAGAATCTGATGCAAAACATTCATATTGTCAATGACCAGACAGTTTCCTGAAATATTTTCGTTCAGAAATTAACCAATTTTTTTCTCATTTCAAAGATATGAGTCTATAATTTTGAGCAATTGACAGCTTAATATTATTGCCTTTTCATGTTGATCATAAATTTACATTTGGATTTCATGGAAAAAAAATAAAAAATTAAGGTATTTTTATTTTTATTTTTTATATAAGAATAAGAGGATACATCAATTTAAAGGTAACTTTATCAAAAACCCATTGTCGAATTTATCAATTTTTATAATCTCCTTTAAGTATTTCAGTGAAGCAAGGACTGATCATAGTGTTGGCTGGAATTATCATTCCATTTACATGGACAGGCTTGTTTGACATGTGATGTACACCATTGGGCACAATATTGGCACATCTCTGAATCTCCATAAGAACAGCCTCGGTGTACGGTAGATTTGGTCGATCTGCAAGACTTGGCAACCTTGATCCCCCCATTACAGTATCAAGTTCAGTTTGAACCTTTCTCTGAATATCTGGCTCTCTAACCATGTAGAGGACTGCCCAGTTAAGGGTAGTTGATGTGGTTTCAGAGCCGGCAATAAAAAAGATCTATTAGAGTGTTAACAAGGTGATATACCCCACACCTTGATAAAAGCTTGACTCCTTGTCTGTTGTGTTCTCTATCTCAATGAGCATGGTATCAATAACATCCCTAGGGGAGTTAACATCCAGAGTTTTCTTGTGCTGTTCAATACTATTACGCATCAGGTTTGCAATTGCTTGGTTAACTTCTATGTCAAGTTGACGTTGAAACAAGTTTGGAAATATTTTGAATAGCCATGGATATACTATAGCAAAAACACCAGTTGGCTTTGCTAACTTTTGAAACAATTCTGTTAATTTCTCTAACATTTCAATCAGTTTGGGATCACTGTACTCGAAACTCTCCCCCACTGTGATTTTCCACAAGGCGTTTAGAATGGGCAAGTTAAATTTTCCTGCAATATCAATAGGTGTACAAGAGATCTGTTTCAAATATGCGATAAACTGCTTAACTTCGTCTTGAATCATCTCCTCCATGGTTGATTTGCCAAAACCAAAGTCTCGAAGAACTTTAAGTGCTGTTCTTCTTTGCTCTGTCCAAGCTTTGCCCTGGCTCATAATAACACCAGCAAGGGGTCCTGGATTAGTTCCGCGGTCAATTGAAATTTTGTTGGCCATTCCACATTTTCTATAATCATTATGTCCTCGGTTCTGCACATTTGGATCATTGTAAATTTGCTTCAGCACGTTAAAATCTCCAACAAAAACATTATTCAGTCCAAAAACATTCAAAAGCATCATTCCATTTGATGAATATTTCCTGTATAAATCCCAAATGAGGGTTGCTGGATCTGAACCATGGGTGAATATCTTGTAGTGACCTATCAGTGGCAGACAAGCACCTGGAGAAGGCAGGAGACTAAACTCCTTCCTGGACCACTTGTAGTACACGACGGAGAGAAGGAGGAGGATTACTATCAGGAGCCACATGATTCACTTCAATCCTGCACCCACCAGCCAAAGTAAGATTAATACTTTGAATGAACTGCCTAACACTGATGCATGCTCAGTTTGTTATCTTTCCTGCTTTACCACTCTTACATGACAACTAGACCTGACTGCAGCTACTGAGGCCTGGGTTTATAAAGTGCGTTTGTTGGTTCACAGTGTACACTGTAGGGCAGACAAAGCGGGAGAAATGTTTGCGCGTGCATGGCAGTAGAGAACCAGTGTACACTTTGAATATTTTTTATAATAATTTAAATTACATAAGTGAAGTTTTAATGATGAGGAATGTATTATGTATACACTTTATATTAATATAATAAAGCTCTGCGCTCATATATATTTATATGTTAGCTTAAGTGGGCCAAACAGCTGGACACTTCATCTAGTTTACATAATAATTTAAATTAATAAGTGCAATTTTAGAGATGAGGCAATTTTGTACTAAATGCCCTACTCCAATTAAAGCTTTCAGACCCGTATCAATCTAGGTACAAATCAACCCCTCTCGTTAATCCACGAGTTATAAGAACTATTCCGTTCAATAATACTTTACTTTCAATGTCAAGCCGGACACAACTTTATATACAAATGTAATTAAGCTACAGGTTTTACGTAGTTATAAATCATGTTACGTAGTTATTTAGAGGGCAGTTTATATAAACCAGGATATAGGTTTTAAATCAGGATATAGGTTTTAAATCAGGATATAGGTTTTAAATCAGGATATAGGTTTTAAATCAGGATATTAACAAACGTAGATAATTAACAATGTTCAGGTTTACAGATATAGGGTTACACGATATTCATTACAATTTTACATGACATATTTTTATAGATCAATATACATAATTAAGATATATTATTACATGAATATATTTTTCTATATTTGATATTTCAAACACAGATTATTTTTTCATTTTATACGTGCAATTAATTTCTAATGAATATCATAATTTGGATAAAATAGTAGTAATAATAATAATAAAAAATTAGGAATAATATTAAAATATCAATAATTATAGCAACAAATAACAAGAATAATACTATTACGAATTATAATACTGATGATGATAAAAATACAATTATATATTTCAATTCTATTCTTGGGAAATTTGGTGGATTAATTAGTTTTCTTTTAAGGCTTATGAATGTCGTTTTAAAAATGACCATGTTACACAAAATGGACGAAATTGTGCAACTTTTTTCGAAAATCATTTTCTCATTGGATGGATCTGATAGATAAAAGCTAAATGTCCTCTAAGTCTGAATTGATTCAACTGTTCTATGTAAATGATAAATATATTTATATAGGTTGTGAACCAATAGCGCTGACCAGGTTTTTCATAGTTGCTGTAGTCACACTAAATTTTCATAGTTGCTGTAGTCACACTAAATTTTCATAGTTGCTGTAGTCACACTAAATTTTCGCTGTTAAAGTCAACATACTCAATCTTAAAACCAAGCTAAGAACATTCCCATGGGTCTCCCTAGTTCCCTAATCAAAATTTGAGTCAAATCGTCCCAGGAGTACCTGAGATAGACAAACAACCAGACAGACAAACAGAGATTACAACTTTATATAAATATTTATCACTAAAGCCGTAATTTTACATACAGTCGTCGTCGTATTTATCAATACAATGAAGACAACGTTCGATTTAAATTTTGATTTCTACCAAGCTTTTAAACATCATGGATACAGATTAAAAATGGAAACAAAGAGACAGCTTCTCTTTGTTTGCTTGTAAAGTTGTTTTTTGGAAAAAAGCCAGAAATCAAAACCCACTTAGAAAAGTCTTCTTCATTGTAAAAACCAAAATTTTTAAATTTTTTAAACCTTGGCCGTGTTCAACCTATCCCAATTTTCTTTCTTTATCCTCCACCTTGTTTTAGGAATATAATAATTCCAACAAAATTAACAACTTGAGTCAGTTCATCTAAAATTTTCAAACTTTGATTAAAGATGGTCCACGGACCACCCAGAGGCGGCTTATGGGGGGCGGGCGGAAACGTTCAACCCCTGGTAAAATTGGGGGGATATCCCCCTCAGTAGAAAATTGGGAGTAGGCTGAGAGTAGGCTGCATCTTCTAGCCCTTTCATTTTTCAAAATCTAAATCTAATGCATTTTAAACCTTCCACCTTCAAGCTGCTATTGAAAAATTTAAAAAGGCTAATAGAACTTTTGTTTTTGCAGAAAATGCTAGATTTTTCGAATATTATGGACGCATTTTGGCGTTAAAGATTGGAAATAATCTAATATGATATTGGACGCTCTGTATTTTAAACATCTCTGTACAGTCTGTACATTTATATCTGGTAAGTTGAAAAATGTCGTCTTATGAGCAATCTATCTTTATCTATGTATATCCCCTCACCGTTATTCCTCAATATCCCTTGCCTATGTATGTTTTAAAGTATTCCCTTATAAGCTAAGCATATTGTTTATAGTTCTCTCAAGCCAGTGCAAACTTGCCTGCTATATTATGCCTTACTCTGCCTACAACAGTGCTAAGTAAAAAGGCACTTTGATAGGCACTTGTGTCTTTATGATGCAATGTAATTATATATTTATCACAAAAAAGCATCGGTGATGTTTATATAGTTAATATCTAGTAATAATAAGAACTAGTTAAAAACCCACTTTTAGCCAAATGAGGCTGCAGAGAAGGGAGGATCGAGGATAATATCTAGCCAATGAGGTTGGATCAAGGATAGTCAAACATGGAGAGATCAAGGTTTTTTTTTTTTTTTTTTTTTTTTAAACAAAAACAAAAAAGTTAGAGTTCTGCCGCGAAAAAGAGTAATTGCAAATTATATTTATTTTGGAGTTGCAAATTTTAACTGTGACGATTTCAGAAACAAAATATTTTGTAGATTTGTTTTCATCTAAACTGTGAATTTAGTTACAGAAAAATTAAAACAACATATCAATATTCCAAACCATTACTGTTGCAGAATAGATATAGCCTGCTAATAGGGCAGCAAGTGCTGGGCAATGCATGCTATATGGTCTAAATATCGAAATTTAAAAATAGCTTAATTTAACATTTAATCGCTTTTTTGACTGCAAAAGTTGGATAACTCGCTAGACTGGAATGTAATTGCATCTTTGAGCTCAAATAAAACCTGACTTATCTACGCTGACAACTTTAGAATGAAATATCCTTAATCCCGATTACTTAATCTGAGTATCCAATGGACACACTTTTGATTTTCTTCTTGGATATAGTAGAGAAAAATCAAAAACCGGTTTTTCTAAATTAGATTAGTCTCGATATTATGAAAAAGAGAGGATCACGCATTAATCTCGATATCCACCATTCTAAAGTTTTCAGTTCTAGATAGTAACAGAAATACACAGAAATACGCGCACATTCTCTTTAAACATTTTACAAAAGTAAATGGCGCGTATGATTGAAACCCTATTAAATGTTTTCAAGCTTTTCTCCTCTTCTGTTAATTAAGAGCTATTAAGAATAACAAGAATGTGTTAATGTATGTTATTGTTATGAAACCAAAGAAATTAAGTCTTTGCCACAAAATCAAATGTTTTAAATTTCCATATCTGCAACCTGATGGTTCAAACTTTTGATACTTCAAACTTATGGTATTTGATCTATATGTCAGAATAGTTTGAAATATCTGAATCATAAGGTTCCGAAGGTTTAGAGGGAGTAGATAATCTGAGTTTGAGACAAGGACTCAATTCTCTTATTAGCTTTCCTCATATTTTGTGTGATATCAAATCTAGGGAAGCTATGCTGTCACAAAGTCGAATCATATATGTTCCATAAATTCAACAGATTTTCAGGGTTGGTGGTTATATCTAATATTTTTAGGAGCATCAAGTCACGGTCTACTTATGTTGGTTCTTTGGGAGGAACCTCTGTCAGGTTTTATATGATCAGTTATTAAATATAATTTGAACAGTTACTGAATATCGTCATCAGAGCCGCGGCTCAAATATGACTGGTTCCACTTAAAATTGTATTCAATTTTCAAGATTTTAGCCGGCGCTCAAATGAAACCGGTTATTCGGGAATTTGAGACGCGACTCAAATTCATTAAATTTGGACTCTGCTAACACAATATTCAATTGTTAATCCCTGCCATGCACTACATAAGCATCGTTTTCAGCTCATTTTTAAACATTCAAAGTATTTTACTCTTAATGTTTATATAAATGTTTATATAAAATTAAAAATGTGATGCATGCTTGATAAAATTTGTTGTGATTTAATGACAACAATGTTTGATTCAGACCAAAGATATGAACCAAAACCCTTTTTTTAAACTTACAATTTCGTTGATTTAGCATTATGTGCAAAGGAAAACATAGAGAAAGCCGCATCGGATCTAAATCCAAAAAAACCCTGCATGTATAAAAACGTTAGCATGGTAGCAATTTGAACCTATTCCAAGATAAGGAACATATTGTTTCTAAACCAAAATGAACTCTGATTTTCAAATCTTTGCAATCCAATTTCGTAGACCTTAGTTGGATCAAATAATCTTAGGTTGAAATATTAAAGGTTTACAACATCAGGTTGCAAAGATAAAGGAATTGGACTCTTAATTCCTTTGTTAACATAATTTCAAATTAAGAGGCCACCAATTAAAGAGTTACTATACCCGACTCTCATTCCATTGAAACAAACAAATTTAAAATACTCTTTTTTTAATAATTTTTAATTGCTGGTGCCTTATTTAGGGATTTGGGTATTTTTGAAGAAAAAGAATGAAATGGAACCATTTTGATTAGGAAATGTAACTCTTTAAATAGGAGATCGCTTTAATTTCCGTCAACAGTCCCTTAAAGGGACTATTTGCGTAATTTTAAGTGACCCTTCGTGCAAACATGTCATGCGTCGATTCACAACGGTACTAATAAAAGTTGTGTCTGATCAAGAATGTATTAAATAAATGTTTACAATGTTAAAAACAAATTATTATTGGTTTCTCTACAAAAATGACTCGTGTATTTACCTACAGGAAAATACACAGTTTTAAACCTAGAAATTGACAATATATTTCATATTTTTGATCAGATAAAGGTTTTAAGCCGTTGTAAATTTGGCATTGGCATCTTTGCATGAAGGGTTGCTTGAAATATTACACTTTTAAATATACTGTTTAGATCTAAGAATAGTTCAGCTTCCAGTGAGGATAAAACTAAGGTTGTGAAGGATTGCTGTAGATCTGTTGTAGAGTTCTTATTCACACAGGTTCACATTTTTAGATGCTTCATATATATATATTTGGTCTGTCTGTCTGTCTGTTTGTGTCCAATAAACGTCAACACGGCTGAACCGATGAGACCAACTTTTTGGTGTTAACTCACATGACTCTAGGGAAGGTTTGTGGTGTCAAAGGAATTGCGTCTCTTGTGTAAACCTTTGATATTTCAAACTAAAGATTATTTGATTTATCAGAATTCAAAGTTTGAAATACCTAAGGTCTATAACATCACTGGACTTTGTAGATTAGAGATTAGAAAATCAGAGTTTGCGGCAAAGACTCAATTCCTATAATGAAGAAAAAAATTAAAATGGCGATATTTGTTATTTTTGTTAATCACGTTAATTACGTCCCTTTCACAAGCTAATAATTTTTTACTCTCGGCTCAAATCAAGGTTATAATGCAAAGAAAGTTAATTGCAGTTGCGTATACTCTGCGTACATATTGAAACCAATTTTTTTCGGGCGGAATTTGTGAACAAGAATGGATGCATCATTGTTCGTTTAGTATCCAAGGAGGTTAAAAGCATTAACAAGTAGTAATGATTTGAAGTTACAGTAATTAAAACTGATTGTACGTCCGATCATAACTCATGAACCCCATGATCCATTTGCCTCAAATTTGGATTGAGGAACACGTTAAAACCAAGGACCTATTTTTAGCTAAGTTCAAAGTTGAGAAGGTCCCAGTAGGAAACAGTTTCTAGAAAAATCTGAGTTCCTAAAAAGCACAGAATTTAATACTTTTCATGTTAGTTTAGGCACACTCAATGTGATTTAAAGGTTGCAAGCTCTTTCACAATATCAATTACTCATTAAAAACTGAAGCTAAAGACAAGCGCTTCATAGTTCTAAAATATACATGCTTGGAGCTACAAAATATCAAACGTGAGTTAGAGCGGTATAATCAAAGCCTTGCAACTCTTCAAAGAACGTCATTCCTTCATTGAAAATTGATGAAACATTTCAAAGCAGACTAAATCTATGTGAACTGAAGCCGAATTTAAAGAATTTGAGACGCGGCTCAAATAACCATAGTTTGTTTCACTTAAAATTATATTCAATGTTTCAAGATTTAAGCGGGTGCTCAATTAAAACCGGTGTTTGGCGGATTTAAGACGCGGCTCAAATTCATTAAATTCTGACTCTGTATAATCACAAAGTGTTTTGCATTCTCCTTTTACCCACTTACACAATGTTTTTGNGGGGAGGCTTGTTTCTATTTACAAACATTTTCTATTTTATAAAGTATTTAGAATATGCGTGTAAGAACAGTCGGTGTCAGCGTAACTTGTATTAGAGGAATTTTTATTTGACCGGGATATTTGAACTTAAATTCATATATAAAGGAAATGAACATTAAATAAAAAATGCTTAAAACACAGAAAAAGGCCAATTTTTTTTATTAGTTAAGCTACAGATCTAAAATTTATTTTGTTTGAAACCCCCTTGAAAAGTGAAAATATGCTATTGTTATTAAAATTATTCATCTTTTTCAAAATATTAATATTTTTTTAATACATGTTAAAGCAAATTTTAACGCTAAAAGCTTTTAGGGTTTTTTCACGTACGTCCAATATGTTAATCATGGTTGCTTCGTATAAAAATGAATAAAGTAACGTATCTCATCATACAAAAAAAGTTGTTGCATTAAATTCCTTGGACAGTTTTTCAATTGTATAATATATCAGGGGACAAAAAGAAATAGAGAGAAAAGTCCGAGAAAGGTCATTGTTTTAATGATGAGATTTTTATGGGCTAGCATTGAAAGCAACGTTTTTTAATCGAAATCTATGTTGAAAAAACGTGTTTGCTTATTTATTTATGCTTGATTGTTTTTTTTTGGCAGCAAACTATATTGGATAATTTGACCACATTCTATATTATTTTCGATTACAATGTTTTGAAAATCTACCAAGGAAATGTTATGAAAATCTACCAAGGAAATGTTTTGATAATCTACCAAGGAAATGTTTTGAAAATCTACCAAGGAAATGTTTGAAAATCTACCAAGGAAAAGTTTTGAAAATCTACCAAGGAAATGTTATGAAAATCTACCAAGGAAATGTTTTGATAATCTACCAAGGAAATTTTTTGAAAATCTACCAAGGAAATGTTTTTAAAATCTACCAACGAAATGTTTTGAAAATCTACCAAGGAAATGTTTTGAAAATCTACCAAGGAAATGTTTTGAAAATCTACCGAGGAAAACAGAAAAATCTTCTAAATTTTTGTCTTCCAACAGTACACAAGTGTCCTTTCTAAACAAATCTGTGTTGCCCTTTTCAACATTTACAAAGACTGACAAGACACAAATCTAATCTCAACTTTTCTTACACTCATTCATCTTCTGATCTATATCAAAGCTATATTAAAACTTTTTTTAAAACAGAATTTGAGCAAACTGAAATAGTAAATTAGAAAAGCCGCTAAAAACTATAACTACACAGTGGACTAGTTCTAGTGAACTTGAGTCACAGCAATTGTGCAGTTTAAACAGACCCATTTTACTTAATAAGTTGTTTTTAAAATAGCTTTATAGCTATTGTAGTAAAACTTTCTGCGCTGTATATCCACCAGTCAAAACCAAACTTTATCGTAAGTATTTCTGATTTAAAAAGACAATTTAACTCCCTTGTGGGATAATTTATTTCTTTATCATCAGGCAAAACAACACTACCCGCCTAACCAGGGTAGGTTGTTTTGAGTGGTTGACTTTACGTTAGTTAGAAGAAAATGAATATGATTACATGTGCGTATCCAGTCATTTTCATTATCTTTAGTTAATTTAGGGTCAACCACTCAAAACAACCTACCCTGGTTAGGCGGGTCAAAACTTCATAGTAAATTGTGATTGCTTATTTGTAATATCTCATGCTTTGTAGTTGAATAAAAATATGATGAATATGAAGGAAGTTCACGATATATTACATGAAGTACGTTGTTCAACATAATTATACAAGAGAGGAAAAGTTCAGTTCTAAGGTAGTAGGGTCATTCAGAGTACATTCACAGTACATTCACAGTACATTCACAGTACATTCACAGTACATTTCACAGTACATTCACAGTACATTCACAGTACATTCACAGTACATTTCACAGTACATTCACGATATATTGTAAAATAAATCATCCTTCAAGGATTATATCTGCCATTTCAAATCAGAAATACTTGCGAGGAAGTTTGGTTTTGGCTGGTGGAAATACACTATGCTTTGTTGTACTTCAAATATGAGTCAATTAATATGAAATGGATTGCTAATAAAGGTTGGAGTTGGTGCATTAGTGGTGAGCTATACTATAGTTGGAGCAATAGCATTTCAGGTACAGATAAAGGGACTGAATACACTATTCACTCATTAAACTTAAAGGGAATGTTAACGTAAATTGAAGGATACATACAGAGGATACATAACAGTATCCTTTATACCTTTATTTGACTTGATCAAGAATAAATCAATTATATGTGTGTTTTTTGTCTGAAAATTCATTATTTTTAGTATTATTTTCCCCCCAAGAAATTTGACTTTTATGCAGCAGAGAGAGTTAAGAAAAACGGCGATATTGTTACTTATTGTTACTCTGACGAAGATTTATAGCTGGGGGACCGTTATGTCCAAGGTTATAATGCAAGGAAAGTTAATTGCAGTTGCGTATACTCTGCGTACATATCGAAAACCAGTTCTCTCTGGGAGGAATTTTTAAACAAGAATAGATGCATCATTGTTCGTTTAGTATCCGAGAAGGTTAAAAGCATTAAATTTTGATAATTTTGATAATTGACATAATAGTTTCCTATGACCAGAATATTTCATTGATTTTTTATGTGAAAAATGGATCCCATCTCAGGCTTCGACATCCGTCTTTTGTTTACATTACCGCCCAGAGACAGTAAAGATGCGTACACCTCTGAAATAACTTTCCTTGCATTACAACCTTGGTTATGTCTGGGATATTTGACAATGCATCTCTATAATTGGAGGATCACATAAAGTGATGCCTAGAGTCCTATTTAGTTTGTCTAGATCTTTAATCTCTTAATTCTGCTAAATCAAATAAACAAATGAAATAAACACAAAATTGAAGTTTTAGATGAATAATCATAAACAATAACAATAAAAATTATAATAATAATAATAATAATAATAATAATAATAATAATAATAATAATAATAATAATAATAATAATAATAATAATAATAATAATAATAATAATAATAATAATAATAATAATAATAATAATAATAATAATAATAATAATAATAATGATAATAATAACAATAAAAATCTTTCAGGCAATTGAGACACAGAACAAGGAGGATTTGATAAAAGAGGTGAGAACTAACGACATTTCATTTTATCTAAATTTTTTACATTTTACTGTGTATTTTTTCCAATTTTTAAATTTTGACAACTTAAAATTTATAAATAACCAGTCTTACCCTTTTTATTTTCGTCTGATCATCCTTGACGAAGAAATCCTCATTTTTCAAGCTGGAAATTGAGTCTCGGTTATACGGCACTCAATTTTTAGTATGACATGCATGTAGTATGTCATGGATGATCAGACAAAGGTTCAAAGAGTAGCATTGTGAATTGATCAAAGTTCTTTAAAAAAGAAGGGTCACAAGAAATTTTGTTGTCATTCCCTTTAGTTAATAAAAAAATAGATATTTTTGTTTCCTATGTTTACCATGTCAAAGAGAATATTTCTTCTTTTTTTAGGTGGAAGAATCCCGGAAAAGGATTGTTGAAGATCTTTGGAATATTACAAGCATGTTCAACGTACTATATTCAAGGTACAGGGTTTCCCTGAACACAGGAAAATCTGAAGATAACAAAAAACATCGTCTTTGATTTGCAACTTTTTAAATTTTAAAAAAATCGGTCAAGAAGATAAAAATGTTTTTGTTTATTTTAATCTATACAATATAATCTATACAATTCATATACTGTCAAGGCATATATTATATAGATATTCTATGCTCAGCTAGATATTAAAGATATTTGTAAAATGTGTGAATTCTTATTAAATATCATTTAATATTATTGATTTCATTTCAGATTATTTAAATACTTTCAAATTACAGTCCATTTTAGTGAAACATTTTACTGCAAGGGGAAATTGTTGATGGGGAAGTTGCTATTTCGGCAAATCATTGATTGGGGAAATTCCTGTTGGGGAAATTAGCGGTTGGGGAAATTGCTATTGGGGAAGTTGTGACTGGGAAAGTTGTGTTGGGGAAATGACCAAATACCAATTTTTTTGACAATTTCGGGTTTCTTTAAAACCAATTATTCATATTTCAGATAATATTAAAAACACAAGTTAGGAAATGCCTGGACTTTTATATTATTATTAAAAAAATAAATATCTTTGTATTAATGTCTTTGTAATTAATGCAATTATTTGTATTTCTCAGGAAATTATCATGTTTTTTGGGACTTCCTGAAATATTTTGGAATAAGTTAAGATAGATTAAAAACTTAAAAACTTAAAAACTAAAATAATTCTTGCTATTCTTTTAGTACCTGGGAGAGGCATATTCAGATAAAGTTATTAGAGCATCAGGAATTTTGAAAAAATTTGAAGAAAAAACTGAATCATTTAATATTATCTACAGGGTTACCCACAAAGGGTGAGAATTCAAAGACGACTGTACGGAATGTCTTTGCTTGCTAGATTGCATACATCTGTAAACTTGCTTCTTTTTTTAATCGAGGATTAAATTAAATTTTTAGATCGTCAAATTTTAAAAGTTTTAGATCCTCAGTAGAGTCTCATTCTTAGTGGGTAAACATCCATTGAAATTCTTTTCTGTTTTGCATTGTAATGTTCTGGCAATTTGAATATTCAAATCTGAGAAATAAAAAATCTGCTAAAACTATAAAAATTTAAATTCGATGAAACATGTTTAAAATGTTGAATAGAAAAGCATGGTTGGGTATATACAAAGTGGGTACGATGAACTTCGTGTAGAGGATAGGTACGTTTCTAAACTTCAAAAAGTCTATCTTTTTATCTCTCACCCCATACAATTTCATTTAGTCTCGGACTTTATTTTTCTAATGCGCATCAAAATGAAAAATTATTTACAAGTATTAAATCACGGAAAAATGTATCAGCATTTTGCCATTTACTCCGTTTAAGCTGAAACTAGAAACACACGCTTTGTTGTTCTGAAGTGTAAAAGTAGAAGTGAGTTAGAAATGCAAGACCAAATGTCAAAGGGCTGCGACACTTCAAAGTCGGCCCGGTCTTTAAAAATTGATGCATAATTTTCATAAAGCTCTTGTTTACTATAAGTGCTGTTATCAAATAACCAAGCTCCAAATTATACAGGGTGTTCCATTAAACATGGGAATTAAGTTCTTTATATCATCTTCGATTCAGGTGGCATTTTTTCATGAACGTAATAATTGCAGTATTCTAGTTTAAACATCTTATATCGAAAACGCCTGGTCTGAAGATTTTCAAAATGTGGTCTACTATTTGTGTATCTTCAAAATTGACAGAGATATTGTTAATCTGTACAAATTCCAATTTATTTAATATATCGCAATTGTCTTAATATCTAATATCTTCGTCAATTTTTAAAACACGAGAAAGGAAGGAAGACCAGTTTATGAAAAGCTAAAGACGTGCAGCCTCGTTTTTATACTTTTTTGCATGCTTGTAATATTATAAATCGAAGACGACTTTCATGTGGTCTCTCGATTCCCATGTATATAAGGGCACCCTGCAGAATGTTCTGAGGTATTTCAAAAAATGACGCAAAATTTTTCCAGTTCTTTTAGAATAGCAATGTAAGTAGCCCTATTGTAAGCATAGAGAGAGGCTTACTTGTAAATAGCACTGGGGCGGATGATAAGTCGCATTGTGTATAATGTTTTGGGATATGTGTCTGTTAAAAGATGCCATCCTAGAGAACATGCTTTTAAGGCGTGATTGAACCAAGCCACCGTTGACCCTGGAGTTCTATTTGAATTCAGGCTAAAGCCGAAATAGAGTTAGTCGTCATGACACGAAGAACCGAAACTAGGAGGTTTAACCCGTCACATGAGGCGGAAGAAAGCCCGGATTTATTCAACCTATTATTATCAAACATTATTTGTTCTTTTTTACACTGTAAATACATTTTTTCCTATTCTCTGTAGACTTTTTAACATTAGTTTCAGGCTTTAACTGGAATTACTCTCTCTTGCTATTTGATTAATATTACGATTTTTAGATGGACTTTCCCTGCTGCGCTCATGTTCACACTTTCTGTAATTACAATGATTGGTAACTATCTCTTTGATATCATATATTAAATAACCCTCCATTAACTATATCAGCATGTGCGATTCAAAACGGTACTCGTTCAGCTTTTTTTTATTACGAGGACAAATAATTCTGTAATTTATTTTTCAGACCGGACATTGAGTGTACACTTAAAGGGACTGTAAGTTCCTTTAATGCCCCAGTCTTAAAAAATAAATTTTATTACATTTCTGATCGGACAAATCTTTACTGGGCCGGTATAGTTGTGAATCGGACACACCACTCTATAAATGAAGGGTCACTTGAAATGACGTTTACGGTAAACAGCCCCTTTAAGAAACTTGTTACTTGTAAACTAACTCAACTAGCACTCCAATTCCCTAATAACATTCACTAATAACAATAAACATATGGTAATTGAGTGACAACTTTTTTCGTGAAAACAGATCATTCTTTTTAGCAATCTGTTCAAAACTGTTATTTTCGAGAACTAAACGTCTTGGGATTTTCAAAATATGGTCTTCTATTTTTATACATTTAAACTTGACTGAGATACGGATGTTAGAATGAAATACAAATTGTCTAAACGTTCAAAATCTTTGTAATTTTTAAAGAAAGCTACAAAGAGGGTAAACCGCAGTTTGAAAAGCACATTTGCAATAATATTATTATATCTCAGAAAAGAGAATTCACTGATCCTATTTTAGGTTATGGGAACATGGTACCAAGAACAGATTGGGGGAAGATTGCCACCATTATTTATGCAATTATTGGTAATATTATCAATTTCATGTTTAAGTACAGTTAAACCCTAAATAAGCCATTCATCGAAAGAACTCATCAAATGTCGTATTCTTCACTTTCTGATAATTGAATGTTTCAGATATTTAGTTTTTTATTAAATGATTATATGGAGCTCTTTAAAACTGTTTCTGCATATTCATGGCTATTTATTTATTTTCGCAAATACTAAGATTTACGTAAAATAGTATAAAACCCCCTGAAAACTTGTCAAGACGACATTTGAGAATTCTTTCGATGTATGGTTCACTTAAGGTTTAACTGTAATTTCCTAGTTTTTAAGTGGGAGCTTTAGAAATGTACAAATTATACTACATTGAAAACCAGAAAACTTTGGAATTGTAAGACGACATTTTAGAACTAATTAATTGTATTTGATGTTGTTAGAATTAGCAAATAGTTTTACTATAATAACTTATTAAATCACTTATTAAGTGAATTGGGTCTGTTTACATTGCACAATACCTGTGGTTCATGTGCATTGGACTATTTAAGGTAATGTCAGTAATTACGTCTTCATATTACAGAGTTTTCTGTTTTAACACTTTACATTTAACCAAAATGCTGTACGTCGTAGAGTGGCAGTCCGCCGCCCCCCCCCCCCAGCGCCTACGGGGTCGGACTTTTTTATTTTGATAGCTGCTGGTAGCATGCTGATGATCAAACATTCAGTGCGACCGTAAAAAGGGATTTAGAAACCTTAAATAGATATAATTTTAATTTTTATATGCAACAAGTAAATTTTAACAAAATTTAAATAAAAATTTAAAACATTGGTATTTATTTATTTTATTCATAAAAATGAGTAAGATTTTTTTATTCTCTTATAATTAAAAACAAAATGATCGTTATATCGAACAAAATTTGGAGAAAAAATCATTTTTTTAATTTTAAAACTTTTTTACACTTCATGAATATGGGCGAAGCATTAAAATCGTGTTTTAACTTTTATAAGTCAGGTATACCCGTGTATTTGTTATACTTCATGAACATGGGTGAAGTATTTAAATCATATTTTAACCATTATATTTTAGGTATCCCAGTATACTTTTTATACTTCATGAACATGGGTAAGGTGTTTGCTAACTGTTTTAAATGGATCTACCGTAGAATACACGGGTGTACTGTTAGAAAGCAAATAGGCAACAAAGCTCATATAAACAAAACTGCAACAGTTTTACATTAAAGTGACTGCTAACGGAATTTGAAGTGTGCCGAGGTTTGATTTATACCGAGGTTTGATTTCTTTCTGGAAGTTTTTTTTCTTTAGATTTTTTTTCTTGCAATATTTTAACCAAAATATTAATTTTTGGTTCCATAGAATTTATTTGTCACTCATGTTTAATATATATCTGAATCAGGTTACAAATAGATTGGGATGGCACAATTTGAGGTTGTGATAAGAAATTACTTTCTTTTATCAGTCTTATTTCTACTTTTACTATTTATATCAAGTTTGATGGTATTTTAAACTTATTTTTTTCAGTTTAAATATACATTTTAGATGTTTAAATATACATTTTAGATGTTTTAATATAAATTTTCCAGGACAAAATGTTCATGGGTCTCACCCAATCTTTAGTTAGAATAAAACTGGAGCATTTTTTACAATGATTTTACGAGTTATAGATTTAAATATGAAAATTGATGAAAACATATTCAAAATGTGTGAGCTTGATTGATCTATAGATTACAGTACAATGGAAGATGATGAGGTATTTAAGCAAGAACAGGTCAAATTTTTAAAAATAAAATATTTTAAATTTATTTTTGGAATTTGTAAACCGTCCATAACTGATATATTCTTAAACTCTTAAAAGGTTATTAATTTTACTTCTTTCTCTATTGTCTTTAACAATGAATAGGAAATCGTTGAAAGCGGATGTCCATGTAAATTCAATAAGAAGCGAATTATACCTTTCATTAGAATTAAGCGTTTTCACCCATTTTCTTCATAAACGCAATAGATAAAAGTAAAATTAGTAACTATTAAATATAAATGTAATTCGGATTTAGTGTGCCATTAACCTAGCCGTCATTTTTCGCAAAGACTCCCTTAATAGCTAGAGGTCTAATCGATCCATTATAAATCAGTTAGCCTTCAAAATTGGTCTAAAATGAATTGCATTACTCTCATTATAATCCCCTCCCTCTCCCCAGCCCAAGGTTTTATAATAAGGTTGGTTACTCTCGATGCGCTCCAATGTACGGAACATGTCGTCTTCAACGATAGACTGATAAAAACCTCATATGACGTCACTCTCGCCTCTATTATCTATCTAACTTAGGAGACGTACATTGGAGCGCATCAAGAGTATAACCAAGCTTATTTATTCAACCTTTTTCCAGGCATTTAGTGAGTTTACAGGGCTAAAGTTAGATTCATCAAATATATGTACTTTATTTCTTACTCTATAAAGAAGTTCATGGTATGTTTACATACAGTACACGAACGCGATATATTGCATAAAGTACAGCGGTTAACATTCTGTTCTAAGGTAGTAGGGTCATTAGACGGTATGTTCCCGATAATACTGTCAAATGTCATACCCTGAACTTCATTAAAAAGAAATATATTGTTTTTATCGGTGGAAATACATGAACAACAAAATATTTGTTGAAACTTTGACATTTAAAAATGTTTAGATAATGATTCCGTCTACAGCATGTATCTGGGTTCTCTTGGTTTACTTGTTCACGGGAACAATCATGTTTGCAGGACTCCTCTTAAAACAATGTTATTTAAAGGGACTGTCTATGATGTTGAAGTAACATCCAACCCAATGTTGTAGACCTTAGATATTTCAAACTACAAATTCTGTTGGATCAAATTTAATTTAAGTTTGAAATATCAAGGTATACTAGCCATCATGTACAAAGATATAGGGTGATTAGAAAATTTGAGTTTGTGCCAAAAACTCAATTCTTTTGCAACATGAGTAAATAAGATAGAATGATTATCCACAAGGGATGTTAATGTATACAGAAAACATGGTTAAAATGGTTAAATTAAGTCTTCTGCCTTAAATATATTCCGTTAATGGCTTATTTTGATATTTGGTAAAAAAAGAAATAAGTTTATGCAGTTGCAGAGAATCGGGATTAAGTAAAAAGACAGTAAAAGTTCCGTGCAGTTGTCTCTGAAGTCTCCTTCTTTTTGGATAACCTTGTATCTGGATATTTTAAAATATCTAAAAATGATTGTTACGTAGAGTAAATTATTTAGAATGGAGGAATGGAATTATCTTAATAGTTAAATATATCTATCTAAAATATGTATTTACGAAGAGTAAATTATTTAGAATGGAGGAATGGAATTATCTTAATAGTTAAATATATCTATATAAAATATGTATTTACGAAGAGTAAATTAATTAGAATGGGAGGAATGGAACTATCTTAATAGTTAAATATATCTATATAAAATATGTATTTACGAAGAGTAAATTAATTAGAATGGGAGGAATGGAACTATCTTAATAGTTAAATATTTATATCTAAAATATGTATTTACGAAGAGTAAATTAATTAGAATGGGAGGGATGGAATTATCTGGATAGTGTCTACTTTTGTGTAACATCTCTATGCAAGGTATACTTTGTGAATTATTTAACTATCAACATCTTCATTATAAAATTACTTAAAAATTATTAAAATTGTTTTCAATAAAACATCTTTTATGCCTCACTCAAAATCTTCAATAAAAATAGTTGATTGTGAACTTTGTTAATTTTAGTCAAATTTTAGTTTTGAGTTTTAGTTGTAACTTGAAAATAGAAACAAACAAAAAACTAAAACTAAAAACTCAAATTTTGTAATTCAAAAATTTTCCATCCTCATGCTGTAAACCTTTGATCTTTTAAACTGAGACTAATTAATCTAACAAAATTCATATTTTAAAATATCAAAGGTTTACAACAGTAGGATACTATAATACAAAGATATGGGAGTTATGATATTAGAATTGGTGGCACGTTTTTTGTTAAAAATAATTTAGCAACTGTTGACATTTTTTTTTTAAATTTCAGATAGGTTTGGGGGATTTTGTGCCGGGCACAAATTTCGCTGGAGAAACGGAGAAAATGAACAAGGCTAAACTAATCATAAACTTTGTTTATCTGCTAGGTATGGTTTTATTCTTAAAGTGACAGTTCACGTTTTTGAGGTTTTCAACAGCATTTTTTTCTAACAATGTTTTTTTTTGTAAAATAAGAAACTATAATTTGAAATATGATTGTGCAAACTTTTTATATTTCAGACTTAGACTTTTAGATCAAACAAAATTCATAAATATCAGCTAGGTTTCAACACGGGTTGCAAAGATATAAGAAAAACAACTTTTAGTTCAAAAATAATTTTAAAATAATTTTTTAATTTCTAATTCACTCTACGTGGACCCAAAAAATATTCACCATGCTTTATACAGCCCACGTAGAAAAAAATAAATTTTATTCTACATTCAAAAGTTTAAAAAAAATATCTTTAAATAATCTAATTTTGTTTTTAGTTGGAATGGGAGTTATAGCAATGAACTATTATCTTCTCAAGGAAAGTGATAATTCAGAATGAACAACAAATATTAAAAAAAAAACCTTTTTTAATTGAGTAGTAATCGGTTTATAAAGGGGTAAACAGAAAAAAAAGAGAAATTACAAAAACACCATTTTGTACATCGATCAAACCCTAAATATTACCTAACCACAGTTTTAGAAGAAAACAGAGCTCTAAATTAACAATTTCTTGATTGAATTTAAAATCGAATTTTGTTGGAGGCAAGTTTTTGAAATTTGGAATAGCCATAAACCTTCCTTGGGATCATGTCAGGTCCCACAACAATTTGGGTCCGATTGGTTCAGCCGTTTGTACGTTTATAGAAGAAGCCGATAATATTTCAGTGTTTTTTAAATTTTGGTATTACTGCATTACAATTTTCTTTGCAAAACATCTTAGGAAGAAAAGCAGGAGAAATCTATTAATTTTGTGTTTTATATTTAAGAATTGTAGATATTTATTCTGCTTACTTTTCCGAAATCTTTTTTTTTAATGATTACTGCTTACCAGGAGGAGGTGGTGCTAAGGATTGAACGAATGAAACGGAAAGTGACAGAATATTGTCGCTACAGAGACAAATAAAAATGTTGTCATTTATAAATTAGATTTTATTGTATTTATAAAATCATGTCTGTGGAATTAGTATTTTTGTCAAAAATGGTTTAGAATTAAGTTCAATAGAAAAGAAAAGCATTTCACATAAAGCTCAAATCTAAAATTTCAAATAAAGAAATTGAGTTCTTGCCAAAAATTCTAATATTCAAATGGTATGTATACCTTTGATATTTCAAATATAGACTATTTCATCTTACAGAATTCATAGTTAAAAAAAGTAAAGATCTACAACATCGGATTTCAAAGATATATGGATTAGAAAATCAGAGTTTGTCGCAAGAACTCAGTTGATTTTTTTCTTTAAACTGCAAATCAAAATGGTCAACTTATTTGTGTAAATAATGTTTGAGTTAAATTGAGGGGGGGGGGTAGTGAAAAATAGACTAATACTCTTGTTCAATACAAAACTGGTTTATTTGTTTGTATTAATATGTGAAAATTAATATGTGATTAAGAATTTTAGAAATAAAAGAAACATAAATTTGTCTGTAGTCAATTTTTACCTTATTACCTTCATTCATGAGAAACCCTGTATAATCTCAAGACTAAATTTTAACTGTCATGTTTCGAGAGACAGCCTGTATAATCTCCAGAATAAACCGGATAAAAGTGTGTTGTGATTTTTATTCCATTTCTGTATATTCTCCATACTAAATCTCAACAAGTGATGCTTCATGACACCCTGTAAAATCTCCACACTAAATCTAAACTGTGATGTTTCGCGAGACACCCTGTATAATCTCCAGAATAAACCGGATAAAAGCGTGTTGTGATTTTTATTCAATTTCTGGCAAAGTTTACAAATATAAAATTAAATAACATTACGGTAAAAGCAGTACAAAGAAAATTCAAGTGGTGCTTTGTAGCGAAACAATTTTCAAACCATTTTATAAGTGAAAGATAAACATTGAATTTTCAAGATTTCTTTTCAATCAATCAATCGAAGATAAATTCTACAAAAATTGCAAATTAAAAACAAAATTTAAATTTTTAAGTGACCATTACATTGAATTTTAGATATATTTTTGATTGTGAATTTCGATGACTTGATCTCTTAACAGAAATAATCGATCAACTATCTTATACATTTGATTAATTAAACAACTAGCAAATCAGTAAATCAATTTTTTTTTTAAACTGATCATTAATTGTGTTTCTCTATAAAGAGACTAGCACAATTCTGCTTCAGAAACAATGGAAATAATTGTTAGAATTAAACATTTTTCCACTCAGATAAACGACGATATCATTGATAGGAAATATGTTTAAAGGTACTGTGTCCTTTTTTAAATGAAAGGTTTGTTGGAACTAAAACGATAGTCCGGCCCTACGATATATCAAGAATTAAATTAGCTTATCAAATTGCGATTAATTAATCAATAACAGATCAATTAATTAGTCGTCTTCGTTATGAACAACTTCATCCAAGAGTTTCTTTGCCAGAGCTTTCCTGACTTCCAGGGTCCTTCATATTCATTTTATTAAAAAAAAAATAAAAAAAAAAATTTCTAAATATCTGTTAAAAGTTGAAATAGAAGATATCCGCGAAGCGCTCTGATAGTCTGCTATATTTATAAATGATAAAACTGGTTTTGTTACCTGGGCATGAGTGACCTCTGCCTGCGCCAGCTGTTTCTCTCTCTCTACGCGCTTGAGTTCAAGAAGTTTGTCCCGCTGCGCACGAAGGAACGCTGTGCGCTTTTCTAGCTCTACAGGGTCAACCTGTACAGTTTACAGTTTACAATGTGCACTGTACTGTGAACACTGAATACACCGTACACCGTACAGTGTGTACAGGAGGGGGGAGTGTAGAAGTAACCAAACGCCACCAAAACGTGTTTTGCGGCATGCGCGCTCCTCAATTGGTTATCAGAAATAAAAAGTGTAACATCAACAAGTTTCGAAAATAAATCTATAAATATGTCACATGAAGTGCTAGAAAAAAATTACGAATCTTAGATCCAATTAGCTGATTTAATGACTGCATTTCATGATTGGAGTTTAAACACTAAAAGGTCGGGTTGCCTGTTTTCAAAAGAATTATCTCATCGCTCCATTTAAAAGATATTTTCGGTTTCATTGGGTGTTCCTTTCCTAGGGGGTAAATCTAAATCACCTTGAACCCAGCCTAATGCAGTTAAGGCTAGGAGGTCTTTTAATTTCTTTCTAAATTACTGCAAGACACTGATACATGTAATGCAGCTGACAAAGGGAAGTTCTCATTATACAACAATGTCAGCAATAAACCTGAATAGATGGCCGATATCAAAAACAACTGGAATAAATACAGAAACTCGAGAGCTGATATTGAAATACTACAAATTGCCTGATCAGCATCTCGAAACTGCATATTAACCATCCGGGGGGGGCGGGGGTATGCAGCTAATTGAATGAGCAAAACAGGACAGCCAGGAAACAAGAAGATTGGAAAAATGATTATCTGCATTCTGCATTAAATACATGTATCAAATAATTTGTTTCATAAAAAAAATAAAAAAAAATGAATAAATTGATAAAGCTAAAAAAGATATTTTCAAAAAATCTTTTCAATTTTAGATTTTTGTATTCGCCTACTCGAGTTCAACATCTACAACAGAATAATTACATGCATAGAAAGAACAAAAGATTTAAAAAAAAACTAGTGAAAATAAAGTATTGAGTTCACTTATTTCTAGCACTTAATTGCTTATTTAGGAGCGTGCATACTAAAAAGTTCAAAAACGTAATTTTATTTCTTGCGCTTCATGTGGCATATTTATAGATTTATTTTAGAAACTGAGGAGCAGTAAAGAAAGCTTTAAGAATATTGTACACCATACGACCATTAACAGAGGTCAATTGCAAATCTATTTCATATGAAATAAAAGATTTAATGTTAAGTTTTTATTTCTGATAACCAATTGAGAAGCGTGCATGGCGCAAAACACGTTTGGGTGGCGTTTGGTTACGTTTCCACTCTCCCCCCCCTCTGTACAGTGTAAAGTGTGTTCAGTTCAGATATAGTGTACTCCGTAGAGTGTATAGTTTAATAACACTTCCCGTACTTAAAAACAGTATTTGGTTTAACTTGGTTTTGATCAAGGTAATAATGCAAGGAAAGTTAATTGCAGTTGCGTATACTCTGCGTACATATTGAAACCAGTTCTCTCTCGGCGGACTTTGTAAATAAGAATAGATACATCAGTGTTCGTTTAGTATCCGAAGAGGTTAAAAGCATTTAATTTTGATAATTTTGAAAATTCACATAATAGTTTCTTATGACCAGAATATTTCATAGATTATTTTTGTGAAAATGAATTCCATGTCAGGCTGTGACATCCGTCTTGTGTTTACACTTCTGAAATGTCTTTCCTTGCCTTACATCCTTGGTGTGGACCCCCCATTCAAAAAATTCGTACGTCTGGGTCACACCGGTACCATTAAACTCGTTTTCCGAGTAACAATGTGGAAGATATTTTTGAACAATACAGATAGAACACTAGATGTCGCTTTTTCAAGACTTAAGGGGTTTTCGTTCACAATAACTCTTAGGCAGAGGCCCAAAGGAGTAACGCGCATTCTCTCTGTTTTGTAATTCAACGCTGCCTGTGCAGAACTCGTTTGGGCTTCTGCCTCAGGATTATTGTGATAGAAAAACCCTTAAATCTTGAATTGGCGAAATCTAGTAGTGTTCAATCTATATGTTATTAATGTTTGGTTTTACCCTAAGTAAGAAAAAATATTTGAGAGCTTTTACTATTTACTCTTAAACTATTCGAACCTCCTCTGTAGGATCGGGCAGGGTTATCGGTGAAGCAATTTCTCCAAGTCCAAGAGCTAAAAAAATACGTTTAAAAAAAATCCTTGGGTGTTTGAACTTTGCAGGAGGGGGGTGTATTCAACGCCAGAATTTACATTTTCCCTTTCAAAGTTAAAACCCTTTGTTATTGTAGTAATTTAAATTATATGTTAATCTTAATTTTATATAATGTTTAATTTATAATTACGTTTACTGAAGAAAAACATATGATTTGGTTTGATTTGATTTATCGTGAAGATCCCCCCCCCACCACCCTAAAAAAAATCGTAACTGTACCCCTGAACGGTTTATAAGTAAATTCAAATTATTCGTATCAGAAAACTATGAAATGAATTTGGTTTTTTTTCTTTTAAAGAAATAGTTTAATTTACAATTTTAAGAAGAAAAAAACAATGATAATGTCACTGTTATCTGAATCCCACTATGAAGGGAGTGACTGGCTCGGTATAATATCAAGTTTTATTTGATAACCATAAAACACTGGAATCTCAGTTCAACTACCATACCTAGCCAGTCACTCCGTTTAATTTATTTTCCCCCCTCACCTGCAGTATTAGTCACATTTGCATTCTTCAAATGCTCTACGAATATGGCCTCCTAAAATTGGCAAAACTTGTTAAAAAAACCATTTTAAAGTTAGGTTTGAAGTGGTTTGAATTCGAAATGAAAATAATTATTTTACAATTTTTAATGTGTAATGAATGTGTAAAATATTATAATTTTTTAGAACATTAAAAAACCTCTCTACAATTTCATCCATACATTGACTTGACTGAATTTTAAGCTTTTTTTTAACAATTTGACAAATTAACAATTTAACCTGATTTTTTTTTTCGGCTTCTAGTCTGTTAAGTTCATCCACACTACCTGCTAGGGCCTAAAAAAGGAAAAATTTATTAAAACTAAAGTGAAGAACTTAAAAATTGAAGAATTTAATCCCTGAAAAGAACCTTTTTCGTAGTATACAAGTAATCCAAAACAGACAAGCTTGCATATGAGTTTTTGTTTTATTTTGCGGTAGGGTTGGTTACCTAGGAAGGTTAAGACATTTTGACTTCATTAAATTCTAAATTTTATTTTTATTATTACATTTCTAAAATAATTTAAATTTTAGAATACTGAATCAATCTGAACTATTGATGAGGTTACCCTCCACCCCTCAGAACCCTATCTGCTACTTTTCTGTTCAAGGGGTGGACCCCCCCTCCCCCTGTTTACCCTGGACCAAATTTAAGTCTAAAAGATTCAGAACAATTTTCAGAAAAAAATTAAAACTCGAAATTTAATTTTTAATTTAATTTAAAGATAAATTACTTGATCAACAAAAACATAAAAATTTTTTCTTTTTTTTAAATAAAAAATGTTTCTACACCTTCTCAAGTTCTGCCTCCTCGTCATTTAAAGCAGCAACAAGGGCTTCATGCTCGGCTTTAGAGTGCCTGGAACATTTCAAATTAACTTTTTATAAATATTTTAAATCTTTAAACACGAGACAATGTTACAACAAGGAACATTTTGTTCAGAAACTTTTAGAAATTTCAAACTATTTTAGTTAGGATTTTTATCATCAATTTCGTTAAAAATATTTTCTGTGACAGTTTTTAGCTATAAAAAAAACTGACTTAAAAAGCGGACCCGGAAAGGCTTTCAAACATTGTCAAAAATTATCAGATTTAAGTCTGTTGTGTTTAAAATAATTAACACGTCAAACACATATACATGCAATCATTAAGTAAACTAAACAAGACCCATCTTATATCTATATATATGTGAAGTGTGTGGTCCAACAGGCTCCCTCGCTTTGAGGCTCACAGCTCAGTATTTAGAGGGAGTTGCTGAGGGATCGAGTGACTTATTTACTTGACTGATCAGGACTTTTCAAAATTAATTAATATCTTTAGGTTTAGTTTGATTTTCCTAAAATAAAATTTCATTTTACATAAACACAATATGCATGCAGGCAGCTTATAACTTAATGAAAAAATAGTAAAAAAAATTCATATTTAAAGACAAGAGCTGAAAATGTGGATATTTTAAGAGATTAAAAGTTTATGATTAAGATAGTTACTACATAAGTACAACATTAAAGTGGGGAAAAAGCCCCCCCCCCTTTTATTAAGTTTCTACCTAAGAACCGTTTGAAATATATCTTCTTCTGACTTCGGTTTATTCGTAGCTTCATCATTTGAAGAAGGTATTTTTAACTTTGATCTAATTAATTCTTTTAGTTTTATAAAATGATTATTAAACGATTTAAATTGACGAACAGGCGGAAAGATGCTGAGGGATTTTGGGGGTTTTACTACTTAAACAGATTTAAAAATGTGCTCTAACATAAAGTTTTTGATTTAAAAGGTCCGTTCAATTGAGTTTTTGTCGTCCTTTCATTGGGTGCAAAACTATGTCGAATATTCGAAAAGCTCAATTAACTTAAGAAAGGAAAAAATTTCATTTACAAATATATAAAATGAATTCCCAAGATTTTTCTTCTTGGTTTTCTGAAATCCAAGGTGTTCTATACGGACAGCTAGTCATAAATCCAGAACCTTCTGGAATAAAACCTAACACGAGAGATTGCAGCAATCCCGGCCCTACGGTTGTGAACAGCTTTGATGGACCTTAGAAATAGACGATGGTTTGTTTGCCATCAAATTGGGGCTCTTTAAGAAATAATTTTAATTATGAACACTAATGATATAAAATTAAAGAATTCTAAATAATTTCTAAGCACTTCTTTGTTATTTTACAAAGATTAAATTAGAAAAAAAAAGGTTATTGATTGTTAAAAGTAAAAAGATATGTTTTCGAACAAAAACGCCAACCGCTGCCTGTATAAGATATTTGTTTTATTGGATTTTACTAAAAGTTTCTGTTCAATATAATTGGAATGCCCCAACATTACCCCAGACATATGAACCAATTAATAAACCATTTAAAACTAAATATTTCCTCGGGAAATTTGTTGCAAAACCTTTCAATGTACTCTCAAGGCTTTTTCCTATTGAGAGAGGAACATTAGTTTTTATATAAATCATAATATTAAAGTATTTTTCCTATTTAGAGAGGAACATTAGTTTTTATATAAATCATAATATTAAAGTATTTTTCCTATTGAGAGACGAACATTAGTTTTTATATAAATCATAATATTAAAGTATTTTTCCTATTGAGAGACGAACATTAGTTTTTATATAAATCATAATATTAAAGTATTTTTCCTATTGATAGAGGAACATTAGTTTTTATATAAATCATAATATTAAAGTATTTTTCCTATTGAGAGACGAACATTAGTTTTTATATAAATCATAATATTAAAGTATTTTTCCTATTGAGAGAGGAACATTAGTTTTTATATAAATCATAATATTAAAGTATTTTTCCTATTGAGAGGGGAACATTAGTTTTAATATAAATCATAATATTAAAGTTTTTTTTTATATTTTTTTTGCTCCAGAATTTGGAACAGTAATTTAAAACATTTTACTTTAGCAATAAGTAGTTGGAATTGGAGTAATGTTTGAGTAATTAAAGAAAATAAAAAAAACGTCGAGTTTCTGATGTTCAGGCCAAGTTTGAAATCGGAACATTAAATATGTTAAAAATGTTGAGGCTATCTCAAGTCGACTTCTGGCATTAAAAAGTCAAGTTATAGTTGAGTTCTGTTTTATCTGTGCCATTTTAACGAGGAAAGAATATATAATTATATGCTTTTTCTCATTTGGTCGTCTATAAATTACCATGTTTAACGGGATAAACTGTAATTAATATAGAAATAAATTTAAAAAATCAGATTTTCCCAAAAACTGTCAAGAACGTTGATATTAAAAATTTCCGCTTTTTGACCTGAACTTTTCGTATTTGTATTCTGAATTGGATTCACACTCCCTACTCTGTAAGTACATTTGTATAAAAAAGGATATTTGTTAAATTTCACGATTATTAATTGAAAAAAATGGAAGCTAAGCAGCAAATAAAAGGTGTAGAAAAAATATAAACACATAATGAGATATAAAGCATGTTTGGTGATTAAAAAGTCCAAACTTAACAGAATGTTTATCAAATCTAAAAAAATTGAACAACCAAAGTTTTTAAAATCAAATTTTAAATATTTTTAAATTTTTTTTGATTATTCTGAAAGGGACTGTAATGGTAATTTAAAGTGACAGTAAATTTAAAAAATCACATTGCCCGATTCACAATAATACCCTTAAAAGCTTTGTCTGATAATCTAGTCATTAATAACATATCAATGTTTATAATTTTGATTGCTAATTATATTTAATTGTGGGTTCACTTCAAAAGTTACTTGCGCATTTGTTATTTGAGGAAAACGTTTGTTTTTAAACCTAAAAAACAAGAATATTTTTCATATTATTGATCAAATATAGGTTTCAAGGTTAATGTTGTGATTGTGAACCGGGCGTGAACATCTTTGCGTATGGAGGGTCACACTCACAGTCCCTTTCCTTGAAATAAAACTTTTCCGTTTGTTGTAGACTGTCGTTTTGAAAACGTGTTGAAACTTTACCACTGCACACACTGGATCAAATTGACCGCCAGGTTCAAAGTTGTGGCACTCAAACCAAACATTATTTTGTTCCTTACGTATATGTTCAAAATTTTTTTTTTAAATGTGCACTACGTGTTAACATAAAAATTTTGACATTTGAAAAATATCTAGTCTTTATTATACTATATTTACTACTGTATATAAATGATAATTTCGCGGATTTTTACGAATTTAGAAAAATATTCTACAAAAAATGTTAACAACTTAATCAACTTTAAATCTTTTGATCATAAAATTAAGATACTTAGCACACAGTTCAGATTTTAAATTAATTATTCTATGATAACATAGGGGTAGGCATGCAAGCTTAAAAAGGTTTTAACCGAGTGTCACGACTTTGAACCGTAGTCACTCTGGTCTGCAGTGTGACTGCTAGATAACACCATAACATTAATTTTGAAATTTTAAAGAGAATGTTTTGTTTGAAATGATTTAGGAAAGTTTGATATCACGAACAAAAAGGTGAAAAAGTGTAAACTGTGAATTTAAAACTCCTTTTTAAAATTAAAAAGTGCAATTTTAACAAAGCCATCTAAAACCTGACAATTTCCCGCATAAGCCTATTCTCACTCTGAAACAATAGTATGAATGATATATACTTTGGAGAAAAAAACTCAACGGGAGCGGTTGAACCAGCGGTTGAGATCTAGCCTAGACTCTACGCAGTTCAGAATAAGAAATGCGCCTTTTTTTCTCAAATTTTTAAAGTATTTTTCCTATTGAGAGGGGAACATTAGTTTTTATATAAATCATAATATTAAAGTATTTTTCCTATTGAGAGAGGAACATTAGTTTTTATATAAATCATAATATTAAAGTATTTTTCCTATTGAGAGNCAGTGGTTGAAAGTAAAAAAGTTCTGAAAAATCTGAAAAACAGCGGTTGAAATCAAAAAAGTTGCTGAAAAATCTTTAAAACAGTGGTTGAAAGCAAAAAGTTGCTGAAAAATCTGAAAACCAGCGGTTGAAAGCAAAAAAGATGCTAAAAAATCTGAAAACGTTATTCATGAAAAATTATATTTCATTTGTTGAAAAAGTGTGATTTAGTGAACAAATTGTAAATTTCTTCTTAATTTCTTATTATGAACTGCGTAGAGTCTAGGCTAGATCTCAACCGCTGGTTCAACCGATCCCGCTGAGTTTTTTTCTCCAAAGTATATATCATTCCAATAGTATAACGTATTTTTAAGCAAAGTTATAAATATTACATTTATCAATTTATCTATTAAATGTTATTCTTATGAAATGTTTTATCATTAAAATCTCCTATCTGTAAAATCATGATTATATAATATAATTATTTAAAATGTCTTTTTTATTTATTGTAATGTATATTCACTAAAAAATGTCGGTTTTACGAAGTGCACTAATATCTATTAAATGTTCAAAAAAATTCTTCTAAAGACAACGTTATATTTTCAAATCTTAATTTCAAGTGACCCTCCATGGACTCCATGTAAAGATGGCAATGTCCGATTTACAACGGTACTCTTGAAACCTTAAGCTTATAAATAATGTGGAAGATATTTTCGTTTTTCTAAATTTAAAATGATAATTCTGATAATTTCTTTCTGTTTTCCGGAACAAAAAAAACCTTGAAAATAATTCATACTTATTTAATAATTTAATAATTCATCTTATATGTTTTTATCATAACTCTTCTTATTGAAGAGCTTATGAGAAAAACAAAAATGTTTTGAATCCATATTATGTAACCAAATAAATTTGCTTTTATTACGCACACGCGAAAAATCAGAACTATAGGAGCAACGGAGTCACAGAGTCAATTTGACCGTCTCCTCCTGGTTTATAGTTTGCCGTGCGTTGGAAATCAGGCATATATGGCAATCTTTGAATGGAGGGTCACTCTAAATAATGCTTACAGTCTCTTTAAAGACGACTTAAAATTCGAAGTAAGCTTTTTTTACCTTGTTAGACACATCCCCCTCATCCCCTTCATCTTCCTCATCCCCACCAGGCTGCAGCACGGCAGGGAGTATTCCGTACCTTAGTACACAAAACCGTTGATAGATGACAGTTTCAATCGTAAACATTGAATTCTATAAGGCAAAAAGAACGCCATTATAGTTACCATAAAGCATTAAACAATAATAACACTTTAAACTCTTTAAACATAACAATCTATAGACTTTATTAAATACTTATTTTAATTTACTTACTCTATCGAAATAGATAATTTTAAATACTAAAATAATAAATATTTAATATTTGATAAATAAAATCTTACACAAGTAACTTGAAATAAGGGGCATGACTAATGAATATGATTACCCTCTTTTTTTAGCCTTCTTTTTTAATTGAATTATACTGAAACAGACGATGTTTTCATTTAATTTTGATTTTTACCTTTGTTGAATTAGCTCTAAAGCCTGAAGCTGGAGTTCAATATTTTTTTGAATCATCATTCGCTTGAAGATCACAAAATCATCAGCAGCCCACACCTAAGTAATAATGTGCATTGTGCATTAATTATATATGCAATAAACAAATCAAAAACTATCCAACAACGAACCAAAAGTGTTTCATCTTAGGATAAAAAAGTTAATAAACGAATAAAATCGATTAATTAACAATACTACACGTAGTTACAGGGTTACGTACAAAGGACGAGATTGCAAAGACGAATTTAAGAAAGAAGAATATGTTTGCAAGGATGAAACAGACACTACAGTATAAATTCCGTACAGCCGTCTCTGAAGTCGCATTCTTTGTGGGTAACAAATTTGTTAAAACGACATTATTTACATTCAAATATCAGGGTTTTTAAACACAATATTTAATTCTAAAGCAAGGCTAATGGAGATTTTTTATTTTTTCTCTGAAAATTGATTCTGAAAGTTTTTATCAGTAGAGACAATTGTAATTGTTGATAATAATGCATCTGCTTGATAACTGTTTTATATTAAACAAAATTTATTTAAGGGTTTCAATTTTGAATAAGTCTTCACTGTAAACTCCTGTTCATTTCAAGCGACTTTTAACCAGCTAGAGCAATCTGTACAGTACAATTCCAGGCAGTGTAAAGCAAACCTGCACAGTACTCAAAAGATCTACTGAAATTTATGTGTCCTACCTGTTCAAAAAGCATTTGTTGGAACTGCGTCTTAATCCCAGCTTTTCCTTTAGCACAAGCTTCTTCAAACTGATCAGCGTTGATACCCATATCATCCATATAGCTACCAAGCATAAAATCAACCTGAATATTGTCAAATATAACTACCAAGCATAAAATCAACCTGAATATTGTCCATATGGGGAGGTGGGTGGGTAGAGCTGGTAATTCACAATTGAAATTAAAAGATTTTAGGACGAGACACTGCCTTCCATTCCTGTTTTTAAAATTACATTGTTTTCCTAAACAGAACAGAAATATAATTTATCTATTTTCCTTGTTCAATTCCTAGACCAAAGGGGGGGGGTACTTCTGAAAAAGGTATTGTTACAATTAAAAGTTGAAGAAATGTTAAAGCCTGAACTGACATGAAAAAGTCTACAAATTCTAGGAAAATATGTATTTTCAACATAAAAAACAGATAACATTTGATACTATACTTATTGGAATAAGGCAGAAGTTTTCAACAGACTCTCCGCCTCATATGGCGAATCAACCTTCCTCTTTGTTGAGACTGCCGATCTATTTGGCTTTAGCCTGGGCAGTCCTATTCATGCCACCTCGTGGAGTCAGGTTATTGGCTTGAGCTTAAAATAGAACCTGAGGTCATCGTTGGCTTGGATTTTTTACTTGTTGAGTTTCCATGCGTTGAATGCATGATCTCAAGAGGAGATTCTTAACTGACAAAATATCTTGAATGCAACTATACATGAGGTGGTCTATTATCCGTCCTACTTTTCGTCCGACCTATAGCTTTATACAAAGAGCTAATAAGCTGCCATACTTACAGACCAGACTACTTGAAATCTGAGCTTAGCTCCGGGTACATATGAGAAATGGAGGGGTTACATCAATGAAACTATCCCTATTCCGAACTTTTTTGCTCATACTGGTTACAGTATGTATACTGTTTACTGTATAGGGCTTGGTGCATCTGAAACCGTTCGTTCCAGGTTTGTTAATAAGGACCTTTAGCTGGATCGTTCGTTCCAGGTTTGTTAACAAGGACCTTTAGCTGGATCGTTCGTTCCAGGTTTGTTAACAAGGACCTTTAGCTGGATCGTTCATTCCAGGTTTGTTAACAAGAACCTTCAGCTGGATCGTTCATTCCAGGTTTGTTAACAAGAACCTTCAGCTGGATCGTTCATTCCAGGTTTGTATGATGTTTAATAATCAAATACTAAATGGTTGAATAAAAAGTGAAATTTGTCCGAAAACTGTCAATTAGTTCTGTGCTGTCAGCTGAATAAACATATAGAGTGTAAACATTACAGGGATAAGATTATACCTCTTTAATCCGTGTTTAATATACTAGTAAATGTTTAATATTTTGACACTTTGTTATTAAGAAAAAATAAAGATTTTGTCGTGAAAATTAAATAATGAAATTTAACACCCGCTCAGAGTTCAAGAGCAATGTTAACAGTTTTGAAAGTGGTCTTCTCTTTTTTTATTCTCGTGGTAATTTCAGTTCTTCAGATTTATAATTGATTCTTCAATAAAACTTTAAATTTTTGATGCATTAACATGTTTTTAATTCACAACTAAATATCCCATTTACACTTTAATTGTTATTGGATACTTGTAACTGTTTTATTAAATCAGCTTTCAATAAGTTTTAGTGAATTTAAAGTTAAATCAGTATTTTTTGCCCGCGTAAACCAAAAATTGGTGAACTTAAATTTGTTGTGAAAAAGTGATTCGAATTTTTGTCTTGAGCAAAAGTGATTTATTTTCGTACTGAGAATTCTTACTTATCTTTGATATCAACTTGAAAGAGGTTTGAAGTTTCAAAGAAATACAGTTTCTCAAAAATAGTAATAGATTACATCCTAGTGTAATATTTTAGTTTAATTTTTAAAGTGAGTTATGAAACAAATTGAATAAATAATAGGGTTAGATTTAATACAATAAAAGTGTGCTGTGTTTTATCTATTTCTATGTTTTCATTTGTGACTTTTCATTACTATGGAACGCCTCTTTTTTAATTCAAGCAAAACCCTACAATGAGAACCAGAAACAATGATATATGAAGACAATATTATAGCAATACTTAAGTGTAATTGTTTCGTAACAATACAAATAGTTTTACCATTGGACTATTTAAAGTCATAACTTGGTTATAAAAGTCGCCCTACTATTTCAGAGTTTTCTGGTAATCACTGTACACAAATTGATCAGTAGACAATTACATAATGTTGAGCTAAACGCTCCCCACAAAGTCTATTTTTCTCATGCCTATATCTATGTAACTCTATAATGGTGTAAACCTTAGATAAATCTAGACAACATGATTCTTAGTTTTAAAGATCAAAGTTGAAAAGATAATGGGATCTTAGTAAATCTGACTTTGAGGCCAGTTTTAAGTAACAATTAAACTAGGAATTTCTTTAGGATCAATACAGTGAGTTCTATAAAAGTGTGGAATAGAAAGAAAACATCAAAGCATTCTTATTAGAATTTTAAGCTTCCATTATGGACAAATTTTACCAGTAGGTTGAAAACCAACCTATTAAATTAATTAAGTCCATGTACAGTTGTACACTACAAAATTACATGTTGTGTTTCATGTTTCATTGGACGATTGAGAGTCATAACTTTGGTCAAATATACGTCTTTCAATTCACATTTTTATGGGTCTTACTGTACGATTTCCAGGTCTTGGTTGATACAAAGAGTTCTATTCTGAACAATGACGATGCTGAGGTTGTTATTGATCTGACTAAAGAAGCGTTAGGAAATCCATACACACGATTCTAAACTTATAATCATATCTCTAAAATATCTTCCCTAAAAATTCTAAATTTTACAAAAATTTATTGTGTATGTATTTTTTAGAAAATGAATTTTTGTAAGTATTCTGAATACTGAATAATGTTTTAAATTTGGAAAATCTTGAAGTGATCCTCCTTCTGCAATCTCCATGTCTGATTCGCAACGGACTCCTTTTCTAGCTTCAAATTTTTTACTTTTCATTGTTTTATTTTGCCCGTGCGAAAAAGAAGAAAATTGGTAAAGTTTAATGATTATCCTTATTCAAAAATATCTTCCACATTGTTACTCGGAAAACGAGTTTAATGGTACCGGTGTGACCCCAGACGTGCCGATTTTTTTTAAACGGGGGTCCACACTCTCTTTAAATAATTATAATATGTTTAGAAAAAAAATGTTATTAGGAGAAGACCCAGTAAAGATAACATAGAAGAGAATTTGCGAGTTAACATAATGATCCCAAAAGGCAACTCTGATCCTGTTGTTGAAGCCTTTCTTGAAGATCCTTATAACCCCAATAAGAACCCAAAGAACAGGATAAATCTTGGAATTAAATCCAGCATTCATCCAAGATCAAAATATATCGATAACAGAATGTTTGAAGAACCTAATGTGAACGAAAGGTAATTTTAGAATTTTATCATTTGTCGATGCTCTACAGGAAAACCACTTAAAATAAAAAATTATTTTTGCCCTTTTTCAATCCGCTGTAAGTTTTAATTTGTAAAACATGCAAAACGAGGGAATATTGTCTAAAGATGAACATTATCAAACAGGAAAATTCAGTGACAAGCAACTAAATGTTTTAATAAAGAAACCTATTTAGTTAAATTGGTTTGTGTATGCTGCACAATGCTGTATTTAATGTTTTTTTTTGTACTGCTAAAAATAACTTGAGGTCTTCCTATTCCAGTGTTAAAAGTCTCACTGTGGAGAAAACTTGAAATGTTTAGGGTTCAGATTGAAAATCCGATGATTGATAATTTTGGGGGAGTTCCTGAAAATAATTCTGAAAAATATACTGAAAATGATTCTGTAAATGATTCTGATTCTGAAAATGACCCTAAAAATTATTCTGAAAATGTTTCTGAAAATGATTCTAAAAAAGATTCTGAGAAGGATTCTGAAAAGGATTCAGAAAAGGATTCCGAAAATGATACTGAAAATGATTCTGAAAATGATTCTGTAAATGATTCTGAAAATGGTCCTGAAAATGATTCAGAAATTGATTCTGAAAATGATACTGAAAAGAATTCTGAAAAGGACTCAGAAAGGGATTCTGAAAATGATTCTGAAAATGATACTGAAAAGAATTCAGAAAAGGATTCTGAAAATGATACTGAAAATGATTCTGAAAATGATTCTGAAAATGTTTCTGAAAATGATTCTAAAAAAGATTCTGAGAAGGATTCTGAGAAGGATTCAGAAAAGGATTCTGAAAAGGATTCTGAAAAGGATTCAGAAAAGGATTCTGAAAATGATACTGAAAATGATACTGAAAAGAATTCTGAAAAGGATTCAGAAAGGGATTCTGAAAATGATTTTGAAAATGATACTGAAAAGAATTCTGAAAAGGGTTCAGAAAAGGATTCAGAAAAGGATTCTGTAAAGGATTCTGTAAATGATTCTGTAAATGGTCCAAATGATTCAGAAATTGATTATAAAAATGGGCCTGAAAATGGTTCTGAAAATGATTCTGAAAACGATTCTGAAAATGATTCAGAAGAAGAAATGAGGTAATGTTTTTATCTGATAAAGATTTTGAGCAAAATTTAAGTTAAAGCTGACCGTCACATATTTAGCACAATAGAGTATGGAGAAGTATTCACTGTAAGTACTACAACTGCAGAGGATTACAACAGAAGTGATCATTTTAATGATTCTAAATCTAGCAGGTAACCTTGTCAATGTTCACGGTTACCCACCATAGATAAGACTATAGAGACAACTATCCAATATTTATTAAATGTCGTTTTTTTCTCTTAAATTCAGAGCCTTTTCAGATCTCTTCAATTCCTTATTTCGTTAAAAAATCATTAATTAGAACATTGTGTCTTGTTTTTAGCCGTCATTAAAGTCTCATCTTTTTTGGGTAGATCTGTATCAATGAAAGAAAAGTAGAAAATTAAAAAAGTTAAATCAAAAAAATATTTATTAGCTCCCTTGAGGAAAGTGAAGACTATAGTTTGGATTCCGAGATTATGATTGAAGAAAACACGGACAACAGTACACAAACTTTTAAAGATGAGAATACCACTGAAAATTTAGATGAAATGAAGCCGAAAGGAGGTAGATTTTTTCTTTAAACAATAGACACATATCTAATAAAGTGCAAAACTCATCAAAACCAGTGCTACCCTCAGAAGTTGCTTTAATCCAACATAAGTGTCAACTTTTGAAACAATTCACAATTCTCTTAAAACAAGTGACAACTTCACAAAAAAAAGTAATAAATTCACAAAAACAAGTAATGCATTCACAAAAACAAGTAATAATTTCACAAAACAAGTAACAAACTTGAAAAACAAGTGACAATTCCCCAGAAATAAGTGATAATTTCACAAAAAAAGTAACAAACTCAAAAAAAAGAGACAACTCCCCAAAAACAAGAGACAACTCCACAAAAACAAGAGACAACTCCACAAAAACAAGAGACAACTCCACAAAAACAAGAGACAACTCCACAAAAACAAGTGACAACTCCCCTGAAACAAGTGACAACTCCGCAAAACTTGTGACAACTCCCCTGAAACNAGAGACAACTCCACAAAAACAAGAGACAACTCCACAAAAACAAGAGACAACTCCACAAAAACAAGAGACAACTCCACAAAAACAAGAGACAACTCCACAAAAACAAGAGACAACTCCAAAAAAACAAGAGACAACTCCACAAAAACAAGTGACAACTCCACAAAAACAAGAGACAACTCCACAAAAACAAGTTACAACTCCCCAAAAACAAAAGACAACTCCACAAAAACAAGAGACAACTCCACAAAAACAGAGACAACTCCACAAAAATAAGAGACAACTCCACAAAAACAAGAGACAGCTCCACAAAAATAAGAGACAACTCCACAAAAACAAGAGACAACTCCACAAAAACAAGTGACAACTCCCCTGAAACAAGTGACAACTCCGCAAAACTTGTGACAACTCCCCTGAAACAAGTGACAACTCCCTAAAAACAAGTGATGACTTTCACAAATATTGCAAATAACAAATTTTGAATATTTCAACATAAATTTATTTTTTTAACGTACATCGCGGGAAATTGTAAACAGAGATGACTTCTTTTCGGAAAAATTGTTTTAAAACCAAATTCATTTAATTTTGCAGATTTGAAGGCAAGCAATGAGGATCTTGAAGAAGAAAACCATGAAAAGGATGAGAGTCAAGAAAATAGAAAATACTCGGAACCTTCCGAAGAAACCGGGTAAACCCACTGACTATTTAGGCTAAAACTAAGCTAAAATGTGAAAACCAAATTTTATTCTGATTTTTATTAGTAGTGAGTCCCTTAGCAGTGCTGAAACTGATATGAGTGCAGAAAATAAGGTGACAAGAATAGATATAATTTCAAAATCTCTGTCAATCTAACAGAAAATCGCAAATGCAAACATACAGATGTCGGCGTTTATATCATTACAATGAAGACAACTTTTCTATTCAAGTTTTGATTTCTATCAAGGATTTTTTAAATAAAAGTTTGCAAGTGTTAATTGACAGCTTCTCTTTGTTTCCATGTTTATGTGTTTCCATTATCCATGCTGTTTAAAAGCTTGGTAGAAGTAAAAAAATGAATTCGACAGTCCTCTTTCTTGTATTGTTTACGACAACGACTGTATGAAAAACAAGAATATTTTTAAATACTTTTGTTTTGACGAAGGATTAAAAGATTACATGCAATAACGTTGACACTCCCTTAATGCTTTTATTTTAAAATTAAATTTAATTGACCTATGCGTGTACTGTACATTTATTAGGGCTGGGCACGTTCCGACCTTTTTTCAATCGTTCCATCCACGTTCCATTCTGTTCCGTTCTTGGTGATCTTTGTCAAAGAATGGTCCTTCCCGTTACGTTCCGTTCTCTGTGTTCTTATAGTCAAGAACGGTTCCATCCCAAGTGTTAATAAATTATGTATGCAATTTTCTTAATTGGACTCATTAGACAATCCCTCTTAATACTGTGGTGTAAGCTTCAAGGGGTGAAAAATAGAGATGGAAACGTTTTTTAAAAAATATCTTTATTTTCAGAGGATTTATTACATATAATAATATCAAATCTATATATTCATTGAAGGCAGTATTGATTAAAGTTTTTTTAATTAACATTTTTTAGTTAAGGGCAAAAGTGATATTTTTAAGTATTTATTTTCATATTATGTAATTATACTTAAATGGAATACATGCATAATTTCAAGTGATCCTCTATTTATAGTGTGGCATGTCCGACGTACCTTTAAAACCTTTATTTCTCCATGCTTTCTGAAGCAAGAAAAGCAAGATCACTTTTGTAGAGAAACCACAAATGAAAATAATCATTTTTCAATATGGGAACATGGATACTTCATGCAATACTTGTTCAGACAAAGCTTTGAAGGATATTGTTGTGAATCAGAATTGAAATTATATTTGCAATCACTTTAAACCTCTCAATTGATTCTACATTAATTAAAAGTTGCTTTGTAGATTTGTGAACTTTGAATAATTAAAAAAAAGAAATTTACAAAATGATTTTAAAGAAAGAAAATGGAAAGCTTTAAAAGTACAGCCTCCAAAATCAAGAATCCGAGGTTTTTTTCAACAAATCTCCAGATGAGCCCAACCCCCTTGCGCGCCCCCTCTCAAGGGCGTAGGGGGCCCCTGCACATTCCTGATTTAAAAATGCGACTTAAAACGCGTTCCCAGTGATAAGAACGCGGTCCTGAATTTAACAGTCTATTAAAGCAATTTCCGTTCGTTCCACGTTCGTCCTTATTATAATCGTTCCAATATTTTTCAGAATGCGTTCTATGTGTTCGTTCTTTTTTTCAGAACGATGGAATTGTCCTTGATAATTCCGTTTGTTCTCGTAAAAGACAATTGTTCCCTAGGAACGACGCCCAGCACTAGTATTTATTTCTGTTATGTTATTATTATATTTATTACTACAGTGTAAACCAGAAAACTATAGGAAGGAAGACGACTGATAGGTTCAAGTTATGACTTTATTTAGTGAACCGCAATCTGACCGATTAAAGTGATGCTTTAATGTCGTCATTCAATCACAGTTTTCTAGAGTTCTCACTATACTATCATAATTATTATTTATATTATCATTATTTTTAGACAGATGAAAGTTCTGCTCTAGTCCTGGATGAAGATGAAGCTGACACTTTACGTGCATTTATTCAAGAACATATTGCTGAGCTTCTTAACAATCAAACTGAAACTAATTCTTCTTCAAACAGAATAATAAATTTGGCTGAAGATACTGATCCCTCTGATACTGATCCCTCTGATGAAGGTATTGCATTGCAAAACCAAAATATCAAGCGTAAAGTCAGATCAAATGAGTCTGAATCGTCAGAATCAAATGAGCAGAAAACTGAATCGAAAGAGCAGAAAACTGAATCGAAAGAGCAGAAAACTGATTTGAAAGAGCAAAAAACTGAATCAAAAGAGCAGAAAACTGAATCGAAAGAGCAGAAAATTGATTCAAAAGAGCAAAAACAAGGATCTATTGATACTTCAGCACATTCGACACCAAACATAACCAAGGTAAAGTCAGTTTAATAAATGGTTAAAAAAGAATTTTATAAAAAAAATGCAGTAAGACCCATAAAATGGAAAGACGACTGTTATGATTCTGAGTAAATTGAGGAACTAGAACAAGAAAAAATAGTGTATTGTACAATGTACACAGATTTAGTTCATTTAACAAATAAGTTTCCTAAAGTGACGTCTTCCTATTCTACAGTTTTTGGTTTAATATAATTAAATTTTTTTTAATTATTCTATTTTTTTGTAGTCGGAAGAAAAAAGTAAAATGTTGTTGAATAAGAAGGAAGCAGATCAACTTATTGCTATAATCAAAGACGCTTTAGGAAAAAAAAACAATTAAATAATTTTTCTAATTCTTAGCAACTTTTTTGAACCTTTTAATGGTCCTATGAGGCATGGTTTAGCTTGAAAAATGTTTTTTTTTAATGTCTCTCACATTTTAAACAAAATGTTTTTTCCCCCAAGAAAACCTGGGAGGAAGTATAAAATCTGAAGACAAACGAAAAATAATAAAAATAATTCAAAATAGAATTCTTACTGAGAAAAATATTACAAATCATAGAAAGTTTCGGATGGAGATTTTACCTCAGCTAATTGAAAAAACAGAAAAGTAAGAGTCAATAAAAAATTTACTATTTTTGCTACATTTCTTAAGTTGTAGAGGACATTACGCAAAAAATATGAATTCCCTCAATCTACAAACTCTACAGTAACAATAGCTAGCAAAAAATACTATGGCGGCAGCTCACGGTTTCATTGTGGATTTTGGAAGATTTTGAAAAAGAAAGAAAATAAATTTAAAAAAAAACTGAAAGGAATCAGCTGTTCCTGGCCAGGGAGTGAGAATATGAGCAAAAAGTGCGTCTTTTAGACAAGGGACATAGCAGCAGACATTAGACGAGCGGTTTAGTAGAGAGAATTGATATAGTTGTTGCTGTAGAGTTCCACGAGTTTTAAAATGTTTTTAACTAAAAAGACTGCAATGCCAATCTTAAAATCATAAAAAGTTATAAAGCCAAAAAATGAAAATGTAATTATATAAATCTTAATACTAAATTAAAGGGCATGTACGCTTTACAATGGTACCCTTGAATGCTTTGTCTGAACAAGAACGAATAAGCTATTCATATTTCTCTTTCTTCTATTGGACTATTTTCAATTATTATTTTATTTATAAAACTGATTGTATGTTATTTCCCGAATTAATCTATTAAAGACTCCTTACTCCTTACACCTTGCAAAATTAATCATATTTTATTTTATCATCATACAAATATGTAGCTTTATAAAAATATTAAAGGAATAATTAATTTTAGAAGAAGAAAACACGCGAATGACTCGAATGCTACAAATACAGACAAAACAGAGGTTAGTTTTCACACTCTGTTTTTGTATTGAGAGAAGTTAACGATCTTAACAACGATGTCGTTAACATTGTTAACCAAGATATGTTGTTAACAATACAATGTTAAAGAAGATATGTCGTTAATGATGTTAACGAAGATATGTTGTTAATGATGCTAACAAAGATGTCATTAACAATGTTAACAAAGATATATGTCGTTAACAATGTTAACAAAGATATGTCATTAATAATGTCAACAAAGATTTATGTCGTTAACAATATTAACAAAGATATATTGTTAACTATATATGTTAGCAAAGATATGTCGTTAATTATGATAAAAAAGATATATTTTTTTTAAAGATGTTAATGAAGATATGCCATTAACAATGTTAACAAAGATATATCGTTAACAATATATATTAACAAAGATATGTCGTTAATGATGATAACGAAAATATGTCGTTAATGATGTTAACAAAGATATATCGTCAACGATGTTAACGAAGATATGTCATTAACAATGTTAACAAAGATATTTTATTAACAATGTTAACAAAGATGTATCGCTAACAATGTTAACACAGATATGTCATTAACAATATTAACGAAGATATGTCATTAACAATATATGTTAACGAAGATATGTCGTTAACAATGTTAACAAATATATGTCGTTAACGATGTTAACAAGGATATGTCGTGAATGATGTTAACTAATATATATCGTAAACAATGTTAACAAAGATATGTCGTTAACTATGTTAACAAAGATATGTCGTTAATGATGTTAACAAAGATATATCGTTAATGATGTTAACAAAGATATGTCGTTAACAATGTTAACAAAGATATTTCGTTAAAGAAACAACCTAAAACAATTAAAAATTTTGTTTTTTTTATCTCAAAAAGAGGATCGTTTCGTTAAAGTATTTTTCGTTGTTTACGAAATGATTAGATCATTCTCAGAAAAACGCAAATTTCTAATTGTCAAATCATTTTAAAAATGGAATAATCACAACAAATCCGTGCGAAAAAACGATAACTTAATTTTTTCGTTCTTAAAAAGTTGTTTTATTTTTTTTCAGGTAGGAACAAGGACGACAATGCCTGCCGTGGATAATTTTTCTCGAAGTATTATGAAAAAATCGATCCCAATGAAATCAGCGAACGTAAATATTGATTTAAAATAAATGGGTTGATACTTATTTTACTTTACAGTGTTTTTTAGTTTACAATTTTTTGTATCTTCACCGCGCCGTTGCAGATTTTTTGTCGTTAAAATTCTTAGAACTTGATTTGATTTTGTTTAGATGAGTAAAGGGGAACTTGAAAAACATTCAAACCTGACTTCAACAGAGTTTCTGAAAACAACTGTCAAGATACCCACGGACCATGTAGATAAATGAGAATAATGACAAATTAAAATAGTTTTGAAATACAAAATAAAACCTACCAAGTTTTTGTATTCTTCGTGGATTTTTTCATATTCTTCATCGTTCTCCTCACCAGGCTCAAAAACTGGAAAATAAAATGTTCAAGAAATTATTGTTTTCTTTAGTGTACTGCAGATCACTGCAGTACGCAACTAAAGCGTAGTTTGGAGTGGTAAAAGCAGAGTAGTTCCTTCGCCAGTACACAACAGCACCATTTAAACCGTTATTTGATCAATAATGTGAAAGATATTGTCGTTTTTCTTTAACTTGAATAGCGGTTAATTCTAACAATTAGGTGCTATGTTCAAGCAGAGTAATAATAAAAGATCAAAAGTCAAATGATCAAAACTCTTGAAATGATCAAAAAAGTGTACGCTAAACAGTTGGGGCAGCTACTTTTTAAAAAAAAACTTTTATAAACTGTAAAAATTCTAATTAGAAAACGTTTTTAAACCTTTCCTCTTTCTCTCTTTTTCTCTCTTTCTCTCTCTCTTTCTCTCTCTTTCTATCTCTTTCTCTCTGTTTCTCTCTGTTTCTCTCTGTTTCTCTCTGTTTCTCTCTGTTTCTCTCTGTTTCTCTCCGTTTCTCTCTGTTTCTCTCTGTTTTTTGATCATTTGATCATTTTGGTATTTGATCATTTGGCATTTGATCTTTTATTATTATTGCGTTCAAGCTGCCATTTTTTTGTTTTCTTTTCCAGAAAGAAAAAAATTGCTATTTTTCCGATGCAAAATTCTTCAATTTCGACCGGCCCATGACTTGGGTTTATACCAAAATATACATATATGTAGATATAGACGCATAGATTTCACTGGAAGGAGGTTATTCATTTGACGTACTGTCCCAGTGTTCTTACATGGTTTGTTATTGTACTGTACAGCTTACTCTATAGCTGGTTAAAAATCAGCCCGGTACTTGAAATGAACCGTAGTTAACAGTAGAACGGATTAAATTAATTCTTCTAGATAATCCAATATGGTAGTTTCAAAAAAGTAACAAGCACTAATTTCTAAAAATTTAAAAGTTTCCACAGTGGATATCGAGCTCAAGCGCCATTGTACACAAAAAACCAGGATTATAGAAGAGACAATTACCTAAAGACTTGTGCTCGATGTAAGTGAGAATTGGAACATTCCAGACCGGTCCACGGAGAAATCCAATCAACGAATCAAATATCCAGTCGTCTTCCATTTTAAGTTTTCTGCTGTAAATGAAATATCGTAGAAAGGAAAAAATATACACTCGTTCCACAATTATAGGTCTATACTTTTAGCTGTTATACCTCTAGCTCTTCAAGCGGCAATTTTCAAAAAAAATGATTTCGACAAAATTTTTGAAATTTGATCAACCATCTAGACCTGTCCTGGGGTTATGTTCGTTGCAGCACAAAAGTTGAACCCGATCAGTTCGGCTGTTTTGACGTTTATTGGATACAAACAGACAACTGACAAGCAAAGAAATACAAAAAAAGAGGTTTAAACTTTTGTGAATTACAAGATCAAGCATCAATCTCCATCTTGTTTGGTCTTTTATTTAACTTTTCGCAAACCTAACCAATCTAGACAGACTACATTTGCGATAAGAAACGTGTTTTATGCAGAAGTGTATATTCAGAGGGAGGGCCCTGTTGGTGTACAGTGTCCCCCCCCCACGGACAAATTCCTGGATACGCCCCTGACTTCATGCATATCTATATAATGGATTTATTTTGAGAAAGAATGACAGAAAAATAATAATTTTGAAATCTAATATTTGAGTTAAATTTGATTTAAAGCGAGCTTTTAAACAGCTCATATAAACAAATAAACATGGAAACAAAGAGAAGCTGTCAATAGGAAAGCTTATCTTTAATTACTTGTAAACTTATGATTCTAAAAAAAGCTTGTTAGCAATCAAAACTTAAATAAAAAAGTCGTTTTCATTGTATTGATATAACCACCGACCACTGTATCACACCAAAATTTTAAGAATAATTCTTTGGAATTCTTTGCCAGAAAATTGATGAAAATTACGTTATTTATAAGATACTAGCCTTAGGGGGCGCTTCGCGCCCATCTTCTAAATTAATTGTGAACATGTTCTCTTTGTATACATCGTAAAACAAAACAAAAATAGTTCGCGGATTTTCACAAAAAATTTCGTGGATTTTCAAAATTTTCAAAAATTTAATGAAGATCTGATTTTAATGGAGACAAATATTTGAAATTTTGATCATTCATAAACCTTCCCTGTGGTCACGTGATGTCCCACACAAAATTTGGGCTCGATCGGTTCACACCGTTTTGACGTTTATTGGATACAAACAAACAAACAGACAGACAGACTGACAGACAGACAAGCCAAATTTATATATAGATTCATATTCTCATAAACAATCTTTAAGAGATAAGAAATGTAATTTTCTTAATTATCTAGAACTGCTGGAGATTTTGGAAAATAATTAAAGTATTGATGGATAGGAGGGTTTATATCGAGGAAAGCTATTAGCCACGTATTGAATATGGTATTGATACTAAACTAGATTGAACCAGGTAGATCGTATGATTCTAGTTATTTGACATAAAACAACTTCTGCAATATTTTAGAAATTTAATGAAATCATGTATTATTTTACTTGTTTCTTAAATCTTTAACTTTATAACGTTTCCGCTATGTCTTTGTTTTCTTTTTAGTACTTAATGTTCTATAATATGTATATCATTATATCAAACTAGCTGAAGTTCCCGGCGCTGCCCGTGGAATTCTAGAAAAAAATTTCAAATAAAAAAAAAATCGAATTTTAAAAAATCAATTTTTGTTTAGCCTTTTGGCCAGGTATAGCATACATATATAATACATAACTATATAGCTAAATATACTAGTGAACCCGCAACACTCTTGTCATAAAATTTTATTCAGAAACACAGGTTTCATGCTTTGTGCAATCATATATATAAATAAATATATATATGCTTTGCTATATATAAGATATTAAGGAAACCTACGGAAAACAATTTCCTTTCAGTTAAAATAATAGAGTTCAATCAATTATGATGAAATTAGGCCATTTAGAAAAGATACTAGATGTTTTTGAATAGAATTATTAGAAAGCAAGGTCAGCTTGGTCAGAACTGAAAGAAGAGCTAGCAGGCGACCACCAATCTTTCTTCTCCTGATATCTGTAATGTGAATTATTGAAAGAGAATCTGCAGTAGTGACAAACAATGAACTGGAATCCTGGAACAGAACCTGGTAGGGCTGGAACAGAACCTGGTAGGGCTGGAACCAAGAAGGGTAAAAAACCTACCATATGGAATATCATACATGGTTTGTTATTCAAGAGTTGATGACAAAACGAATACACCGGTTTCCAATTCCCCCGATGCTGCAGGAGGAGATGTAAACACAAATACGGCGATACAAAACTTGGTAAAGAGTGCACCGTGACGTACTATACTTTTCCAATAGAAAACCTGATGGAGCATGAACAGTCTCTGAATTAGATCTGTCGAAAAGTGGATAATGGAAAGTGTAATTTATGGAAAGTGTTACTTATGGCAAACGTAATACGGCAAGTGTAATTATGGCAAATGTATTTATGGCAAAAGTATTATTGCAAATAACTGATCCCAATCAAAGGTTTACAGGGTACCACTGTAAATTGGACATTGCCTTCTCTGCATGGAGGGTCACTTGAAATAACTTTTACAGTCTCTTTAAATGTTAACTTGGACACATCTGCGGACAAGGCAAATCTGCTCTTACTTCAGAACTTCAATACCACAAAGAATGAGATTTCAATGGGGCAAGAACACTTTTTAATTTTGGCTTTTTGAGGTTTAAACTTCATCTTTGGTCTCAGATATTGTCTTTTATTTGTTTAATAACTAATTTGGTATACAGAGCAAAAAGTTAACAACTAAGAAAAAAGAACTGAACAAATTCCGTACAGTCTTTTCTGAAGTCTCATTAAATTTCTTGGGGATGGAGGAGTTCCCCTTTAACGTTCCTCTGCAGATTCACACAATCTTATGCGTGACATTTGTCGACATATTTTACGCACTGCTGAAATTTGCTGTCAAATCTATTTAGTTTTTTTTTAATCTTTAATAAGAGGACATTTTTAGTTTATTTTTAGACTGTTCTTTTTAACACTGTTTTAGAAATTCTAAGAAAAGGGAAAATGAAAAGGCACAATTAACAGCTATAAAGTGTTAGTTTACGAATTTTAAATATCTTAATACATTCTGAGCTGAAAACTTTAGAATGAGATATCCTTAATCCAAATTACTTAATCTGAGTATCCAAAGGACACACTTTTGATTTTCTTCTTAAACCGGTCTTTCTTGGATATAGTAGAGAAAAATCAAAACCGGTTTTTTTAATTGAGAGAGTCCCTCCTGTTTCTGTATTTAATCTTAAATGGCGCGCAAAGTTTCAAATTTATCGGCTTCATATATGCGACTGTGATTGGCTGAATTCTATACACTTTTCAAGATACAAGTACAAGATTAAGTTAGTTTTGATTTTAAGAAAAAGAGAGGATCAAGCATTAATCTCAATATCCACCATTCTAAAGTTTTCAGCTCTGATATTATTACAGCTAAGAAGACTTCAACGTCAAGCAAGGATGCAAGACTAAATATACGAAACAAGGAATAAAACCAAAATAAAGTAAAAAATAATAATTGAAACTCGGAGTAAAACAGGGTCTCCACTCTCCACAATTATCAGAAAATAGATGCGTAGCAAAATTATGCTTTTGGCCGCTATATCACTCTAAAATTTGAGTGGGACTCAAGTCCTAATTGTTGCATTGTTTTATTTGAGCCGAGTATTTATAGTTAAAGCTACGGAGTAAGATCTCTCTGCAGAAAAGGATCGATCTACAGTATAAGGATGTATCACATATCATATATTAGTTTAATCATCAGATTTTATATATTAGTTTAATCATCAGATATTATATATTATGTTTGATCACCAGATATTATATATTAGTTTGATCATCAGATATTATATGTTAGTTTAATCATCAGATATTATATATTAGTTTAATTATCAGATATTATATATTAGTTTGATCATCAGATATTATATATTAGTTTGATCACCAGATATCATATATTAGTTTGATCATCAGATATTATATATTAGTTTAATCATCAGATATTATATATTAGTTTGATCATCACATATTATATATTAGTTTAATCATCAGATATTATATATTAGTTTAATCATCAGATATTCTATATTAGTTTGATCAAACCTGAAAAGATCTGGAGGGACGAGGTGAATAGAGGAACCTTCTCCAATTCCCATGTCAAAAATTATTTGAACATCTTTGTATGTAAATTTCAGTTTATTTAAAACAATAAATTGATTAAGTTACAGAAAAAATCTGAGTAACTGGTATTATAAACTTTTTTGAACATTATTTTGTAATGATGCACTGTTAAAATATTTTGTTCGTAATGCTGAACACAATGTTAGAATTGTATAAAAACATCTTTGTAGATATTTCAAGTTCCCTTCCGTTCATAAATACATAAATTCACAATAGTACCCTTCGATTCAACAGAAGACGAACTTTGTCTTTTTCCGTATAGAAAACTTGCACTTATTAATAGATTTGTTTGCAAGCGGTTTTATATTTAAAACATTAGTTAAACTTTAAAATGTTCAGGATTGTTGAGAAACTGTGTGAAGGCATCTGTTTGAGTTCACGCTGTACACTAGCTTACACTCTGCAATTTTCTAATAATTTAAACGTTATTTTAGAGATGAACACACAGGTCACTCTGTCGTAGATAATCAGATACACGTGTTTAAAAGTACTGTAGTGAATCGGACTCTCTATATTTAAAGGGTCACTTGAAATAACGTCCTCACTTCTCTTTAAAGTTTGTTGAATCATTGCCAAGCGGATGATTTGCAGCCTCTGTCGCCATCTTAAACAAAAAATAACTGAAACATTGTCACAAACTCTTATTTTATCATCCTGATACAAATATATCTCCGCAACCTGATTATTTAACTATCCTATCAGCTTGTTAAGAATGAGATAAATGGAATCAAAGTAGCATTTTTTCCCTTTCTTTATAGTATAAATACTTACACAAGTAGGTTTTCTTTTACAACGGTTTTTTTGTAAAGTAAAGTAAATAAAACAAATAAGGGAGTTTTGCTTTAGGAATACTTCAGCGAAATTCCAAGAAGTTTGTCAAAATAATAGAGTCTTTATCTGCACAAATATTAGAGTCTTTATCTGCACAAACTCTTATTTTCTAACAGAATTTGCAACATAATGGTGAAAACCTTTTATATTTCAAGTTAAGTTAAGGATTTGATGGAATAAAACAATTTATATTTTAAAATATTTTAGATCTGCGACATTGCATGGATTACAAATATTTACAGATTAGAAAATCAGATATTTTGTCTGTTTGCTTGCATCTCACTGTGCCTTTTTCTACGGTGGTAAGCGATTATATCAATATAATGAAGTTTATTCAAGTTTTAATGTTAGCATATTAAGAATTTTAGGTTTACAAGTAAGTAAAGAGAGGTTTTTTAATTAACATCTTCTATTTGTTTCTTTGTTTATGCGTACCCATGTTGTTTAAAAGCTTGATATGAATTAAAATTAAAATCGAAAGCCGTTTTCATTATATTGATATGATCGCCTACCACCGTATCATATTTATAAATGATGTTGAAAATTAGATTCCTATGAACATCTAAAAAATTGCTTAAACAAATTTTTTGTGTTTAAATTTTGTATCTGTAAGTCTTTATAAAGTGCCGCTGTACACGTAGGGTTGTTGTTAGCGTTGGTTTTAGTTTTAAAGAACTTCCAGAATTTAAAGAATTCTTTTTTTGTAAAAGTTTGCTTTTATTCAGTTTGCAATAATTTTATCCTATGAGATAAAAAAGTAAAAGTAAACCTAACAACGTTAGTGTTAACATGGTCGTTTTAGTTCGTGTTTGATTCATTTTTGATTCGTAAATTTTAAATATTATATCACGGTCCACAACGTGATATCTGTCCCCTTAAACTTTCATTACTTTGTAATAAGGACTAAGGACTAACTTTTTTATTTCAATTGCCATTTCATTTGAAAAGGGGCATTCCTTACTTACTATGGTATGGTACTCTTCTAATTAACAAAAAATATGGATATCTTGATCAGGGGTACCATTGTGAATGAATGAGGAGTAAATTGAAATTATATAAGTAAGGAGTATTCTAAAAATATTGAAATATTATTTACCTCCCTCATTGCTGCCCATAATTCCTCACCAATAGGAATAATTTCAGCAGGATCAACAACAAATGATTTCTTAAATAGAAAGAAGGTTTTTGCTAATATTAATTTATGAAACTATTGTGTAATTTATCATTCTTCCTCACTTCATCGTGAATTTCATAATGACCGTGCTATAAAGTAATCATCGTGCCATAATGTTAAATTAGCTGTACATAGCACGTGTGCTATACAGTTTTAAATTTCAAAAATATTTTTTTTCAATTAAATGAAAATAAAATTGAACTCAACTTTATTTTTACTTCTGATTTGTTTCAAACCTTATTTAATTTATAAATAAATAATTAAATCGGAAAAGGAACCTTCTCGATAAAGAGAAAGGAATTGAGTTTTTGCTGCAAACTCTGATGTTCTAATCTCTATATCTTTGTATACCAATGTCGTAGACCTTAGATACTTCAAACTATTAATACTTACATGGATAAAGTAATCTACGTTTGAAATATCGAAGGCTTGCATCATCAGGTTGCAAAGATATTGGGATAAGAAGATTTGAGTTTGTGGCAAAAACTCAATTCCTTTGTGTCCAAAAACTTTATAACACTGCGAACCAAAAAAACAGTGTTAAAAATAATAATTGGAACCTAAGTTCAGAACTTTTAATCTGCGAAGCCTGAACTCGATATACGCGATGGAAACTTTTAAACTGCACTTTCATGTTAATTCAAATATTCAGGAACCAGTTTCAAATATAAAGTAGTTGTAAAACCTGTGGTTGGTGTAATCTGAAGATAACTTGTTAATCCTACAAATATTAAATCTACAGATTGCCCCCCCCTTTAGCTTTCTTACCAGCTGTATCCGGTACATGTGTAGTGACACATTAACTGTACAGTACTCTTGTGTACATTACTATCTTAGTGTACGCAAGTAGTTTGATCAGTATGGAGCTAACCATCACTGGAGATGGGTTAAATATCCCAGAGAGACCCGTGTCGAGAGTCCAAAGTCCAGAGTCCCGAGTCCAGTGTCCAGAGTCCAGATGACAGTAGTACAAAGAGTCTACACCAAGTCCCGAGTCCAGAGGCGTGAGTCCAGTGTCGAGTGTCTAGAGGCGAGAGTCCAGAGTCCGATATCCAGAGATGAGATTTGTATCCATCCTCAATTAAACCAAGAGATAGTGCAGTAAAAGTACGTTTCTTATTAACTTATTTATACATTTATCTTTCAATCTTAGTAACTATATTCTCTGTAACATAAACTAATTTTAGATATTTTTAGATTGAAACCATTGAAATACATATTTAATATTGTCTTTCATGCTTACAATTTGCTGTCTTATATTCTCTTTAAATAGGCTGTAAATCGTCTTAAATAGATTTTACAGTAGTGTCATGTTACTACCTATTCCAGTTAGCTTTGATTTCTAATAAGGTAATATTTATTTGAAATAAATCAAAGTGAACATAACTTGAATAGCAATCAGGATCTAGAAGTCTTGTTTCTCAAACAATTAATCATTCCTTTATAAAAAAGCTGGTTTTTTGGTATGCAACAATTTTCATTGAATCAATTTATCAATCAATCAATCGGCTGAAAGACTAGGCAAAAATGGATGACATAAATAAAGGATTTAACGAAAGAATTAGCTTAAGTTTGTTTTTAATCTTTGTGAAGAAACAATCTCAAGAACTGACGAGGGTCAACCCAGACCGAAATATATTTTCAATAAATGTGGAACTAACAGAGTTATGTAAAAAAAACTACAGGGGGGGGTCAAATTGACCCCCCCCCAGCGGGAATAGGGTTAACAATTCTAGGAGATTTTGTCTATTCGTTTGTAATTTTAGGAGTTTGAATATCAGAGGTTTGTAATTTTAGGAGTTTGTCTTTCTGAAGCTTGTCTTTCAGGAGTTTGTCGTTCAGGAGTTTGTATTTAAGGGGGTTGTCTTTCAGGAGTTTGTATTTTAGGAGTATGTTCTTCAGGAGTTTTTATTTCAGGAGTTTGTCTTTCAGGAGTTTGTATTTAAGGAGTTTGTCCTTCATGAGTTTGTATTTAAGGAGTTTGTCCCTCAGGAGTTTGTCTTTCAGGAGTTTGTCTTTCATGAGTTTGTCTTTTAGGAGTTTATTCTGCAGGAGTTTGTCTTTCAGTGGTTTTTCCTTTCCGGTATTTTTTTCTTTCTGGTGTTTGTCCTATTCGGTGTTTGTCCTTTAACAAGATTGTGTCTTAGGTGTTTGTGTAGCAGGTGTTTGTCTCTCAGGAGTTTTTCCTTCAGAAATTTGTCCTTTCAGGCATTTGTCCTTTTAGGTGTTTGCCTTTAATGAGTTTGTCTTTCAGAAGTTAGGAGTTTGTATTACATGAATTGTACGAGTTGTACAAATTGTACATGTAGGGTTTACAACGCCGCAGGTGGATTTTTTTTTGCGCAATTGCGAGCCCTGTCATTCCGCTCCATTCCACCAAAGTTAAAAACAATTCCGCACCATTCCAAGCAACGGAATTCCGATTGTAAACCCTAAGTATTTCTTACGTACCTTAGCCCAATCATCAGTAGCTCCACCAACTAAATATAAAGCTGCTCCCCCAGCTCCAACAATATATTCTCTCTTTGGGTTTACAGACTATACAATAAAAAATTTGCGATGGATGAGCAACATTAATGTTTAAATGAGGTTTTTTTATTTCGTCAATGATGAACATTTTTTTTATTTTTTGTTCGTTCATTATTTGTTCTGGACGACACCATCGTTTAGAAAAAAAAATTTCGTTGTCAAAATTTCGTTCAATCACGAAAATGATGCCCATCTCTACTAAGAGCCAAGTTCTGCTTCTATTGATGAACCTAATATGTGCAGCGCTCTGTTTGGTTTAGGGTTTCCACCGGAATTCCGGGTTACGGTTTACGTACGGAAATGATCCGGAAATTTTTTCCATTTCCATCATGGAAAAGGTTCCGGAACACCGGAATTCCGGAACCATTTCCGGAACGATTTTTTTTCCGTAAAACGGAAATTTCCGGAACGTTGTTCCAGAATTACGGATCGTTACGGAATATCGTTCCGGAAATTTTCCGGAAAATCGTTCCGGAAATTTCCGGTTTCCGGAACATTTGGTACCAGAATTACATTAAAGTCTTACATATGTAAATACAACACCAGTTATTAACACTAACAATATATGGATGGATGCCGGACGGTAGAAAAAGTTATACTCAATAATCAATATTCAAAGTTACTATAGTGTGAAATATAACTGATAAATCGAGGGGGCGGGGACTCTACTACTAGCAGGGCAGTAGCTAGCGGGGGAAGGGGCAATGATCCTCAATTTTTTTCTTCAAATTTTCAAACTTTGTAAATATGAATTTAATTAAAATAAGAAAAATTTAAGTTCCGGTTTACGGAATGGAAATTTTCCAGTTTACGTTACGTAAACCGTAAAAATTTCCGGTTTACGGAATGAAAACCGGAAATTTTTCCGGTTTACGAAATGGAAACTGGAAATTTTACGGTTTCCATTCCGTAAAACGGAAATTTTTCCGGTTTACGTGACGTAAACCGGAAAATTTCCGGTTTCCATTTATACCGGAATTATCCCAGAATTCCGGTTTACGCAACAAATTTCCGGATCATTCCATTTCCAAAATGGAAATTTTTTTCCGGAAAAATGGAAACCCTAGTTTGGTTGCAATCAGCAAAGTTGTCTGCAACAGTTGCCTTCATTAATCATTGGGGGTTTCAAAATGTTGAACTTTGAATAGGTGATTCAGGATTTAAGATAGCATGGCACTTAAGATTTTCAAACTATTAAATGCGGTCTGCAGGGTTTGAAATTTTTATAATTTACCTCTGAAGCATCTGCTCCTCTTCTAGCCAGGGCATAAAGTTTATCATAATCTTCCGGTAAATCCGATGTATATCCCCAGGAAGTTAACCAAGATTGTCCTGTTGCGAAATAAATATAAAGATGTGCTATAAAGCAAGGGAATAAAGTTTCCAAGGGTGTCCATGGCAGAAACCTGAGAATCAGTGTCAGGTTTGGTATCACATGTTTTTATGGAAAACCAGTACAATTTTCTAATCAGAAAATAGCCTTTTTCATTATCATACAAATCAAAAATCTGCATCCCAATTATAAAAACTATTTCACAATAAAGTATATGTGGCGGGATTTTTTTTATCTACCAGACTATAAATAATTAACACTGAAATGAATTAAGTCTTAAACCAAAATTTCGGCAAAATCAAGGTTTGTGGAACTTTTACAATATAATTCCCCTATTTCAAATAAACATAATTTATAAAGATTTGTTAACTCAAATAAAGCTGTCTTTCTTCTCAAAGATGTTCTTGAAAGCCAGGAGGTACAAAAAGTTTGCTCTAGCTGAAAGCAAAATTGCTTCCAGTGAAAAATCTTATTTCAGTGTATTGCAGTTGTATGAACACTGATTATTCGTTTTCGGTATTTCTGCTCTCAGAAATATCTTTCAAACTTGATTTATTTTCATATTTGCAATATCTATATTTACCGTAAGAATGGAAGGTTATGTAGACCCGAATATTGTTTTTGTATTTAAGAATGGTTTTCTGCACTGCCATAGTTTCAGGTTCAGAATTCTCAGCTGTTCCCTTTAAAATGCAGGGGGGCCATTAATATTTAGATTTGAAGGGATTGAAGACGTAATTACAATTTTAAAAATGGCATGTCCAATTCATAACAGTGCTTTTAAAACCATTGGCCAATATAGGTTGACGGACTTTTGCTTATTGGGCACTCCCCTCTTTACATGGAATCACATTGGAAATTTCACTTATGGCCCTTTTAAAGGAATCATAGCCATAATTTCTAGAAACCATCCATTTATATTGGGATTATAGCCATAATATCTAGAAACCATCCATTAATAAAGGGATTGTAGCCATAGTTTCTGGAAACCATTCATTTATAAAGGGATTGTAGCCATAATTTCTGGAAACCATCTATTTATGAAAGGATTGTAGCCACAATTTCTAGAAACCATCCATTTATGAAGGGATTGTAGCCACAATTTCTAAAAACCATCCATTTATGAAGGGATTGTAGCCACAATTTCTAGAAACCATCCATTTATGAAAGGATTGTAGCCACAATTTCTAGAAACCATCCATTTTTAAAGGGATTGTAGCCATAATTTCTGGAAACCATCCATTTTTATAGGGATTGTAGCCATAATTTCTGGAAACCATCCATTTTTAAAGGGATTGTACCCATAATTTCTAAAAACCATCCATTTTTAAAGGGATTGTACCCATAATTTCTGGAAACCATCCATTTTAAAAGGGATTGTACCCAAAATTTCTAAAACCATCCATTTGTAAAATGAACGTGTAGCCATAATTTCTAGAAACCATCCATTTATAAAGGGGCATGCCTCAATATCATCGGTACCCAGCCTTTAAACCCCGATCTGAGTAATAATACGGATTATCTTGTTCCTAATCTAAAATCCATGGTATTGTTTATCCTTTAAGTAAATTTTACAGAGATAATAAAACTGAAAATAATCCATATTTAGTTGAAAAACTAGAATATCTCATTTAACCTTGATCAGACAAAGGTTTAAAGGGTTCCACTGGGAATCAGTATTTTACTCTTTAAATGTCGAGTCATATAAAATTACGTCCCTTATAGCTTTTTGTAAATCCTGTAGCATATATCTTTTCTTAATATTGAAAAAAATTGAACATAAACCTCATTCATAAGATTCGTTTACAAGCTTTGCAAAGAATTCTTGAATTTTAGGGTTTCCAACGCAAGTGGATTTTATTGGCGCGCAATTGTTACCCTTTAAATTCCGTGGTTTTTTGCAGAATTCCGATTGGAAACCCTAGTATGTTTATAATCGCGTCTGAAGATTTTTAAAACCTTTTCACACATGATTTCGGGAAGCGGGGGGGGCTTCTTTTTGAATCGATACTTTTTTAAATATAGTACCCAATATACTTCAGAACAAGTTCTATTAGAAGCTCCTATTCCGAATCCAGTTGTGCCAAAATTTCTGTTTAAATCCACACCATAACAATTTTTCTTATCTCCCTCCGGTGGTTCACGTCTGTAAAAATAGTTGTAAACAATGGGAACCATAAAACTCTGGAATGAAAGACTTAAGTAATGATAATCCATTTAAATTTTTCCGGAACAAAATTTTCATTTGGGAAATGGAATGATCCGGAAATTTGTTGCGTAAATCGTACCCAGGAATTACGGTTGAAACCCTGGAAACATGTACAATGTACAGGGTGTCCCACGAAACATGACAGTTGGTGAATGGTTTAAAATGTCTTCTTCCATAATTTGTTAACTTGTTTGATACCAACGAGACTAATACAAATATTTTATGGCAGTCATATCTAGATATAAATTTAACTTGTCTGGGTGTCTTTTTGTTTGTATCCAATCAACGTCAAAACGGCTGTACCGATCAGCCCCAAATTTTGTGTGGGACATCACGTGGCCCCAGGGAAGATTTATGGCCAATCAGACTTAAAATATGTAATCTTAAAATATTTTTATCTTAAATCTTTTGTAAAATTTTAAAAATGCGCGAAAAAAAAATATGAAATCTGCAAATTTAAACAAAAAATTTATACTGTACAAAAAGAAGATGCTCACGGATAAAGCCACAATTAAAAGTTGAAAAAACCATAGATAAATAAATAAACATAGATTGTACGCAAAATCACCAAGAATTGTACGGTCATTGAACTCATACTTCTAGGGGTCAAAGTGTACTTCAATGATAAACAGAGCCTAAAACTTAAGACAGTGTATCGTTATAAAAACCAGTTTTGTAACCCGGGTTTCACGAATGGGGTTAGACAGTTTCGTGGATTTCAATATTTTTGTAATGAAATATGAATTTATTTAGTTTCTTCATGTTCTCTATTATTTTTGAATCGCTTAAATCAAAATCTACACAAATGTTAAGACCCCAAACAGGAAACTCGAGAGTTTCGTTCAACGATACTCTTTTAAATTTTGGGCTCAGGGTGGTTTGGTGTTTTATTGGATTTCATAATTATTAAACCACTCAGGAGTGAACTTTATTTCGAGAATATCAAATTATTTCACTGAGCAATATATCATATTGACGAGAACTGAAGAAGGACATGAGAAGGACTAAACTAACTTAAATTTCTCTCTACAGAACGCATGTACACCACAAGGACTCAATGAAATAAGAACAGCCAATGTTCACAACCGACCTAGTTAATCTATATAATAGGAATATCTTTAAAACATCTCTGTACATTTATATCTTTAAAGATGAAAAAATGTCGTCTTATCTATGGAAAAAACAGATGGGCGCGAAGCGCCCCCAAAAGCCTGGTTATGTTAAAGTTGATTTCAAAGTAATTTATATTTGAATAATAAAAAATTTAAAAGAAATAACCTGGAAAATGACTGTAATGGCAAATAAAGTATATGGAAGAAGACATTTAAAATTGTAAATCAACTGTCATGTTTTGTGGACACCCTGTACATATCAACTGTGCAATTTACACAGGTCCATTTCACTTGATACTTCAAGTTAATGATAAAACTCTTTGCTTTAAAACACCATCAAATATTTTGAGCTTGCTTTAATGTCGTCGTCCTATTCCACAGTTTTATGGATTCCACTGTATTAGCACTTGCATTAGGAGATGGGTTTGATTTTCATTTTTAGACCGAGTTTCAAGAGATTGTGCTTTTGGTGCTCTTTATTTTAAAGAGCTAGGTAAAATGTTGGTTCATGAACTATTTTTGGTTGCAAAACGTTACATGGCTGTTCGGTAACTTCACAAATTACGTTCTATAGCGTAACCAAAATTATATTTATATAAGGCACTTATTCTTTAAAATAGTAAGCGACATTTATTCGCAATTATAATTTAAGATATAAAAGTTAATTATCACAAAATAACCCTAGTCTCGGTATTTCCAAAATGTGGTCTGCCTTTTTTGTTCTTTCAATATTACCCAGAGATGTACAAAATTTTTTCAAGATTTTCGACAATTTATGGTTGTATTTGATAAAATTAAAATCCGAAAGTAATAATATTGACGGTAAAAAAATGCAGACCACATTTTGAAAATCCCCGGACCAGGAGAATTTTGTTGGTTATTGGTTCAAGAATCAAACATGTGAAAGTAGGTTGACGACTGATTGTCACAAATGAATAAAAAGTTCAAAGACGACTTTCAACTCGTCTTGCTACTCTGATGTTTCAGAGGAAACCCTGTATATATATATATATATATATAGGGATATTCTAGGAGTGAGGTTACAAACCTGTTTTTTCTCCAAAGTCTCTGATCAGTATGAGTGTACTCATATCCATCAGGGTTCAATAATGGTGCTATATACCAGTCAACACTTTGGATCACTGGATCACTAAATAGTTTTATAGCTTTTCATTGTGTGCCTTTACACTAATAAACTTCTTGTTAAGTTGTTAAAGTTGCTAAAGTTGTTAAAAGGATGTTTTTATCAGTTTTGCCATATAGAATATTAGGGAAGTGTTCTAATCCTAAAAAGACTAGAAGGTCTGAATGTAATGTTTGTTGTGCAATAAAAAAATGGCGAATAAATGTCAGGAAAATTTAAAAGAATTCTAAATAACTATTTTTTAAAAGGGTTTTCCAATCAAAAAAGTAAGTTTTAGGAAACTCAAAAAACAAGAACACTATGTGCTATTTTAGATTTATTTGAGTGCACCGTCCAGCATTTTGACAGTACTGTATTCAAACCCTGTGTGCATTGAAAGAAAATACTTAAAATTATTTTTTTTTCAAAATTGATAATTAGCAGTAAAGTAATAGTCCTTTTGATTAAAATGTTAGGCTTCAAGGGGCGTATTCAGGAATTTGCGCAGGGGGGCTTAAACTTTTTTTACAGGGGGGGGGGGCTCAGTACCCGTTGGGGTCTGAAAACCTTCTAAATCCATAGGTTGCACTGGTCGTGGGGGGGGGAGGGGTAGAGCCCCCATAGCCCCCCTGAATACGACTCATTCAGGTCATAAAATATTCAATGTTTTTATTTACTAGTAAAATCTGTCCACTTTCCTATTTTGCACGTACTATCCTGAAAAATTTTGTAAGAGAACAACGTAGAACTTGGATCACAAAATGTCCAAATATATTTACAAGCTATGTTTTTATTTACTTACCTTGTTTGTTCACTGGAGAAAGTATCAATAAGTTTTTTTATGATATATGTTGAAGTACTGATAGCAATCCATTCTCTAAAACATCAAGTTAATATCCCTGAGAGAGTGATATTAATTTTATAACAAACTTTTAAGAAAACAACCGTTATTTTACCAAAGAGACAATTTGTTTGAACTAATTGAAAAACAATAATCTTTTACTGATTTTTCTAACAAAATTTGAAAATGTGATCATGTATTTACTGAACAAACCATTTTATTAAACGCACAAATTTACTGAATGAACAATGTAATTAAATGATCTTTCAGTTAGGAAACGAACATAATAGATGGAGAATGAAAGATAATGTTAAAAACTAATGAATCAAAAACATTTTCTGAACAGCTGAAAAAGCAATCAAAATGGGTCGTTAACAAATGATAAACCAATGCATTATAAAATCCAAACGCACCCATCTCTAGCTTTGAGCTTTCTAAATGTTGGTCTTAGTGAGAACATGTCTCTATAATCTTTCCTTTAATTTTTCTTTCTTAAATTAAACAGATTTGAACAAAATTAGAAAGCAGATATAAATATTTAATATATTGATATTAAAATTGTTTTACTGTAGTGATGAAAAATCAACAAACTGTTAAAAGGCAAAAACAATGGAGAACCAAAAAGGCTTTGGGGAGTAGCAGAATCCTCTCTGGGAACACTCCAGAGACCAAGTAAAACCAGAGGTAGATGATGGAACCAGTCTATTCCAGATGATTTTTTTCTCAGAGATACATTGACACATTCTTCTGCTTTTGTAGACTGAAGAGGATTTGCGTTTGGCCATCTGCTTGTTTTTTCAATCAGTGTAAAAAGGTGTTTCGCTACTTAGCGATTTCCCTAAAGACCTAATATATATACCGTGTGGTATTTCTCAGGACCGGATCGTAAGACTCCCTTCTCTCAACGCTCTTCATAATAAAAAGGATGATAGTAAGGTTCCGAACGTTTATTTCTCTGAGCCTTCAATCTAAACAAGTTTAATAAACTCACAGAAAAAGCTTTGAGTGATAATCATACAATTACAACAAATAATTCACTCAGGCATTAAAAAACTGTGGCTAGGAACCAATAAACACATATACAAATATCAATCATATTATAATCAAACCGACAAGCATAAATATATATAAAAATAGTTACCACAGTGATCCCAGAATTCTGAACACGGCTAATACTTGCAAAACGAATAAACATATACTGACATAAATT